GAGGCTGGAGAGCAGGGGACAGGGGCTGTGTACCACCTCTGAATTTGTCCACACGCCGTGGGCTTCCAAAAAGCCATTGAACACTAACTGTACCCCATCCGTCCCCCAGCCAGCCTCCAATGAGCTGCCTCCAGTTGGGCCTCCAAGGGGGGGGAAAGGTGGCAGGGAGTGGGGAGGGAGGGGAGCCTCTTCCCTCCGTGTGTCAGGAGGGTCCCCAAGGGCATCCAACCATGCTGCTTGTGCCTGTGTGGCAGTGGGCAGCATGCCCCTTCCACACCTGACCTGACCTCGAGCTACGATTTTACCTTGAGCGCCGTGGGAAGGAGTCAGCAAGGATCGATCAGGGTTTTTGGTTTTTTTTTTTTTTTTGGTGCTTTTTCCAAAGTTGTGAGCGCCCCCCCCACCACCATATATACGCATTTATTGCTCAGCCTTCTCTCTCTTTCTGCTCCAATAGCAGCTAAGTGACTTCCAGGCAGAGGGGGCTTAGGAGAATGGTGTTCTTCTCCCATCCCTTCTGCTCTGGGGTGGGGTGGGGGTGGGGGGGGATGTGTGAGGTGCTCACGTGACTAAGGGTTTGGGCTGGGGAATCCGCAGAGGTCCCGGCCTCTCCAGTCCCAGAGAAATGACCAAAGTGGGTCCCGAAATTGGCCCCCCTTGTTCCAGGCCTGGCAGGTCAAGCTGTGCGTTCCTGCTGGCGGGGGGGGGGGGTTACCCCGAATGGGGCTCAAGGCAGAAACCTGCCCTTCATCTGGACCCTAGCTCTGCGCAGATGATACACTGGTGCTGCTAAGCCCCTAGGCCTGAGAAGGCTGATGTATGGGGAGCCGGCTCAAGCGTTAGGGTGTTTGGTTTTTCTTTTGTGCTGGTACTAGGGCTTGCATTCAGGGCTTCGCGCTGTCCCTGAGCTTTTTTCACTCAAGGCTGGTGCTCAACCTCTTGATCCACCACACCTCCACTTCCAACCTTTTTTTCTTTTCTTTTTTTTTGCTGGCAAATTGGAGCTAGGAACTCCCACAGATTTACCTGTGGGGGTTGGCTTTGAACTGTGGCCCTCCGATCTCAGCCTCTTGAGTAGCTAGGATGACAATGTTAGGACTTTCCTATGGCCGGTGTATTTGGGCTCCTGGATCAGACAGTTTGGCTGCAGGGCCCTTTCAGAAATCCCAGGTAGACCCACAAGGGCCCTGGCCCAAAATACCCGGATGGAAAGTAATTTGTTCTCAGAGTGACAGGGTAAAGGATCTGCTGGACAGGCCACCAGCAAAGCCACAGGGCGCTGACTCCACGTGGCACGGCCCTGCTTCCTCTCCTTAGGCTCAGCTCCCAGACGCCTGTGGGCTCAAAGGCGTGGCTCACGTGAGTTCTTGTTGTTATTTCTCTCCATCAGTACCGGGGATGGAACTTATGTTTGCCAGGCCAGAGTTAGCACTGAGAACACATTGTGCCTCTCACCTCCAAATGCCACTGTGGGGCGCAGGTCCCGTTGTACAATGTCCCCGAAGAGGGGGTGTGGCTCTTTGATGCAGGCCTTTTCCCGTTCACTCTAGCTCCTCGCAGCTTCCTCTTGCTCCAAAATCATGTGTGTCAAACACTACACGTGGACTTCAAAGTTTGAAATCTCCGTTTACAGCTCATTTGTTAGCCGGCATCATTCCTCACTCGGCTCAGGCTTTGTGTCCAGGGATTTTAGTCTGATGGGCAATCTGAGCGAGCAGATGGAAAAATAAGGGCAGAAGGTACCAGACACCAGACTTGTTCTCTGGTGTCAGTGAATAGGATGGTGGGGAATGCGGTTCTCTTTTAGGGAATGGTAGGATTGGGTACCTGTGCTGTAAACATCGGTGGCCTTTGTGGGTACCAGGAACAAGCACCCAGCCGGTCCTGATAACCACGCGGTACTGGCCAGTTCTGTGCCGGGATGGGCCCAGCATTTCCGTCTTGGTGTGTACAGATGCGGGCGTGCCAGAGCTTGTAGCAGATTCCACCTGGGGTTGTGTGCACGGATTGCGTGTTAAACTTTTCCCTTTCAATAAATGAATTTTAATTTTTATTTTTCACAGGTTGTGGTCTGTGTCTTTGTTCTCACACATCTTTAAAAAAAAAATAATAATGTTGCTGTGTGCCGATGGCTCACATCTGTCCATCCTGGTGGCTCAGGAGGCAGAGATCTGAGGATCACAGTTCAAAGCCAACCCAGGCAGGAAAGTCAGTGAGACTCTTCTCTCCAACGAGCCACCCAAAAAGCTGGACGTGGAACTGTGGCTTAAGTGGTAGAGCACTAGCCTTGAGCAAAGAATAACTCAAGGATAATGCCCAGACCCTGAGTTCAAGCCCCAGGATTGGCACAAACAAAACAAAATACCACTCAGATCTCTTTACTGGATCTTAGGTTAACATTAGTTCGCTCATTACAGTGACCAGCTCCCTAATAGAAACAATTTAGTCACTAGATAGTCTGGAGTGCATGTCAGGAACAGAGCTGTTGATATCATGGCAGCCCGGAAGTAGATGTGAAATCCTGGAAGGGTCCCTATCTCTAAACCACAAACCCCCAGTAACCTTGTAAAGTCTGCCTCACCCTTCTACCTCTTGATACCTCCTATCAAATCATGACTCCATTAAGTGATTCATCTCAGCCTAGCTGGATCTACAGAAGGCCTGAGGCTCAACTTAAAAAAAAAAAAATCCCAGATCATATGGCTACTCTTTTCTAGAACCTTCCCAGGCTGGTTTAGTTAGCATTTACGACTCTCTCCTCAGCAGCCTGTACTGCTGCTTTTCTGTTTAGCCTCCTACCTGCCTATGGTGTAGAGACACAATGATGTCTGCCCAGAACCACAGCTCCCGCAGCAAATATAGAACATTGTGGCTGTTTTGAGAGCATGTAGACATTCCCCCACCCCCTTTGTCATGATTCCCTAAACCAAATGCATGCTGTTGTGGACCTTATAAGTCATCTAAAGATGATTGAAAATAGGTGTAGTCTATTTATGCTGGGTGTTGGTGGCTGACACCCATAATCCTAGCTACTGAGGAGGCTGAGATCTGAGGATCGTAGTTCAAAGCCAGCCCAGGCAGGAAAGTCTGTGAGACTCTTACCTCCTGTGATCCACCAGCAAACCGGAAGTGACACTGTGGCTCTAAGTGGTAGAGTGCTCACCTTGACCAAAAAGAGCTCGGGGGACACCACCGAGGCCTTGAGTTCAAGCCCAACCGAAAAACAGCAACAACAAAATGTGTGTGTAGCTTACATGGAAGACAGGAACACCCAGGATTTTTGTGTCTTCTTTGTTTTTTGCCGGTCATGGGGCTTGAACTCTGGGCCTGGGCGCTGTCCCTCAAGCTCTTCCACTCAAGGCTAGCGCTCTACCCCTTGAGCCACAGCGCCACTTCAGCTTTTTTTTTTTTGTAGTTGTTGTTGTTGCTTAATTGGAGATCAGAACTCACAGACTTTCCTCCCTGGGCGGGCTTTGAACTGTGATCCTCAGATCTCAGCCTCCTGAGTAGCTAGGATGACAGGCGTGAGCCACCTATGCCTGACTCCCCTTTCACTTTAAAAAAAAATTCTTTATTGAGATTAAGTGACTACATAAATTTCACACTATGTGGCACAGTTATATTTAGCTAAAGTCACAAATACATTTTAACCTTCACAATGATAATCATCATTATCACAATCTACAAAGCTTATGAGCTCTATGAACTTTAACAATAAAATTATGTCATACAAATCGGGTGATATGTACATTTCTTTCCTTTTCCTTAATAACAGCTCTTCTCCACTTTGGCTATTTGAGAATCTCTCCAAAAAAAAAGAGTAGTTCACCTGCTGTGTCCTTTTTCCCTCCTAGATATTGCCTTGATACACACCTCCACGCTGCCTAACACTCAAAGAAAGCAGTTTCTGGATCCTTCTATAATGCACAAGCCTTCCCTCATGTCTCAGCTGCCTGCATAAAAGCTGCCTGCCTGCTTCCTACAGCCTTTGCTCATAGGACACCCCTCCCTCCCTCCCTCCCTCCCTTCTTTCCTTTCCTTTTTCTCCAACAATGCCTAAAATTGCAGGGTCACTGCAATTGTCCCCAGGACATGATGGAGGGTTAGAGTCCCAGAGTGGAGCCCCACGACTGAACAGGTTCCTATCTCCCCATCTCTAGACACTCTGGCTCTATTTACACCCCTTAGAATTGGAGCGATCTTCTTGACTGGTTAAGTCACAAGGTCTGGAGTCAGGCAGAGCTGGGTTCAAATCCTGGCCCTGTCACTCATGAATTTGGGGACCTTGCTTATTTTATGTCACAAACATCTTGCAGGCTACCTAATTCCTTTGTGCCTCTGCTTCCCTTGTGTAAGTGTGTGTGGTGGTAAACAAGTACCAACCTCAGGAGGGTTTGTATTAAATGAGGTAAGACAGGAGAGAGGTTGCTCAGGGCTCAGCCTGTGGCAGGTGGTCTGTGGCATGTGGCTGTAGAGGTGGAGGCTGGCAGTGGTGATGAGGTTTATGAACTGTAGAATATAACTGCGGTGTCATAGTCCAGATGTTTAAACCAGCTGCCCAGTAGTTTGAAGAAGAGAGACTTTCCCTGGAGACCTTTCTTGCCTCTCTGGGCTCCCTCAATCAGTTCTTGTTCTTTGAGCGCCACCTTGCGGTCACCTTTGGAAGTTCAGGCTGGGAGTGTGTGGATAAAGCGTAGAGGCCAGGGGCCAACACCTTTTCTCTTTTATGCACGCATGCGTGCCAGTATTGGGGCTTGAACTCTGTGTATCCTAGGCAGTAGTGAAGTCTCTTGATTGTGTCTGGGCCCTGTTTTTACTAGATCTTTAGGATCCTTTCCAACTCTCAGATTCTATGAACCTGGGGTCTGAAAGGCCTGTAGACACTCAGACCATTCTCCTAGCCCAGCCTGAAACAGGCTGAATGATACCAAACGTAACAGTAGAAAAAGTTACTTTATTGTTAAAAAACAACAACCACCAAGCACGCACCAGTCACGCACCGCACTCTCTCAATCCATTCTCCCCCATGCAGTTCCCTCTGGCTAGGGATAGCAGCCCCATGCAGGTCGCTGGGCAGTGGCTCTTCTATTTTGACTTTTGTCTCCAAAACAAAACCAACAAACCCCACACTTATGAAAAGGCAGTGGACCAGAGAGGGACTGGCAGAGGACAGGGCACTGAGGCCACCACAGGCCTCGCTGGCTTCTCTGCCACCCCAACTGCACACCCCCCCACACGTGTGTCTCACACACACACCATGTCCATGGTTGCTCACACCTGTGGACCCTAGCCCACAGTGACCCTCCATGCATAGGGCGGAGTCAGGGAGGGCAACACTTGATTGGCAGGCATCTGAGAGGAAGGGGCGGGAACAGGCAGGAATGGGCGGGAACTGGCAAAGGGTCCAGCCCTTGGCTCCCTGCAAACAGCGGTTCCAAGTTGCTTGTGTCTAAAGAGGAAATGTCTTTTTCTTTCATCCAGACAGCAAGGCTGAAATTTAAATGAAGTACTTATGTCCTTCCCGCCTTCAGGCCCTCACCCCCCCCCCAAAAAAAAAAGTGCCTGAGAAACTTGGGGGTAAAGAACCCAAGAGTTCCACGAAGTTTTGAATTCTTCACAAGAGCAAAGTTTGGGGGTGCTCTTGGCAGACCCAGGCTGGACCAGAGATGAAAAGAAACAAAGGAAATCCCTCTGCTGTTTGGGCTATATAAGGAGTGGCACTTCGGGGAGACTGGGGCCCCAGAGATGCTTCCGGGGGGAGGGAGAGGGGCACCTAGCCCAGTGCCTGGCACCCACAGACATAGGCAGACAGTGGATGAACGTGCGCAGAAGAACCCATGTGCAGGTGGCTTTACCTGCTGTTCCCCACTCGGCCGCTAGGTGGACCCCGGGGTGGAGCAGGGGAATGAACATCAACCCAGCCAAACTGGCCCTGTCGTCCGGGCAACGAGGTGCCAGGGTCAGCATCCAGCCCATCCCTTCTTGTCCATCCTGGGAGGCAGCGATGGCTGGTGTCCTAGGAAACCAGCTCCGAGAGCATCCCTTCTTCTCTGAACCCTAGCGCTTTTTTTTTTTTTTTAAACTCCATCCTCGGCTTCCTTCCATCCTCAGAGACTGGAAGGAAAAATTTCAAGTGGTGGGGTCCTTTCTCCAGCCACACTCCACTGGCTCCCTAGGAGACTAGAAGATGGGGGGAAGGACCTCCGGCTCCTCTTCCTCTGAGAACATGAAGCTAGAACATCACTTCTTCACAGCTCCCGTAATCACTCTCCACCATGTCTGAACCTTCATAATTGGGGGGGGCTCGGGGCTGGCCCCGACCCACAGGAGGTCCCCCTTCTACCTCACAGTCAGCGTACGAGGGTCCGGCCCTGCTGAGCCGCATGCTCACCCCCTTGTAGCCGCCCTCTGCCAGGCAGGGCCCGCCCCCTCCCTGCCGGAGCGAATGGTAGTAGCTGATGGCCGTGTACTCATTGAGAGAAGGCGGCAGCAGAGGTTCACGGGGGCCGGGGGCTGCGGGGGGCGGGGGCATCAGGTCTTCCAGGTTCTGGTTGCTGTAACGGGGTGGGAGGGGTGCCCTCTTGTTTTCCAGTTCCAGGGGGAAGGGGAACCCCCCGTAGAGACCAGCGGGCTCTGGGATCATGGCTGCACGATGATGGGGGGAAGGTGGCTGAGGATCCTGAGCCACTTCGGAGTGAGCGTACTGCCAGCGATCGCTCCTGGAGTAAGTGGGGGGCCAGACCGCAACTCTGCTGGGATACACTGCAAGGGAATGGCAAGATAGAGTGAGTCCTCCCCAGAGAAGGTTCCAGAAGGTCCTGTGGCTCCTATATATGCAATGCAGCACATGGCCACTCTCTGCCTGTTGTCTGCAGAGAAGATGGGGTGGGGGTGGGGGAGAGGTTCAAGGCCTCAGGGGTGTGTGTGTGTGTGTGTTTGCGCGCGTGTGCATGCGTGCACATGCACACTGGTCCTAGATCTTACTCAGGGCCTGAGTGGCTGTCCCTTGACAGTTAAGGTTGGTGCTCTACCACTTGAGCCACAGCTCCAGTTCTCACTTTTCTGGGGTTTATTGGAGAGGAGAATCTCATGGACTTGGTGACAGGGCCTTCAGAGCTCAGCCTCCTGAGTAGCTAAAATCCCAGGCGTGAGCTCTCCAGCACCTGGCAAAGCTGCAGGCATTGCCCAGAGCTGTCTTGCACAAATCTCTGCTTCTGGAGCCGAGGCAGCGCGAACCAGGTTCATAGCCTGACTCTAAAGCTGGATCCCACGGAGGGCAGAAATCTCCCCCCACAGAAAGAAACAAAGCATGCGCCTGCAGAGGTCACGTTGTCTGTCACAGGAAGGGATAAAATGAAGTGTGGTTTGGGAGAGATGGGGAGTCCTTGGTCGGTCCTACACCCCCTTTCTACCGCTGAGAAGCTCAGTTAGAATGAGTCACAAATACTGCACTCATTTGTAACCACTGGCAAATAGGCCAGAGAAATCAATCGAAAGTGCTTTAGCAATTCACCTACTTGTGAGCCAAAGATGGGGTTGGGGGGGGGTGGGGGAGGAGTTGTCCCTGTTGGACAACCAGAAACTTAAACCAACTGCTTGGCTTTCCTGTCTTAGAAAAGCACAAATGCAGAGACCTCTTCCTTATACTCCAGGAATTCTGCCCCAAGACCTAAGCACCACCTATGTTAAGTTTCTGGAAGGAATTGCAGTTCCGTGGAAGAGCCTTGGAATCTACAGGAGATGATCGCGGTGCCACAGAGCCACAGACTCTGGCATGAGAAAGCTGGCACTTTTCCAGCCCTGGCACGGAGACATCTGGAATACACCCCCCCCCATCAAGTCCCCTGACCCCCTAAGAATCCGATTGAATGTGTTCTCAAGGATTATTTAGGGGGTGATCCCAGAGGCTGGGGGGTGTACTGACCCATCTCCTCTCCTGACCAGGTCCTCTTCATGATGCACTTGTGGTCCGGATGTGGAGGGACCGCAGTGGATGTCGGGAGCCTGGGCGGCACGCTGCAGACCACTGGTTGCTGCTTAGAGTTTGGCCCGAAAGTGACGAGTTCACTGGGAATGGAAGTCTTGCTGGGCTCCGGTTGGTTCAAGTTGGTGCAGGAGCTGGTGGTCAGAGGGTCGAGCTCAATGGCTGGCAGGGCTTGGGTGTCTACCCCGATGCTCCGCGCGAGGAGATCGGGATCCTCCATCGTCACTGGCTTGTGAGACTTGCAGCGGCGACAGTAGAAGAGAAAGCCAGCCGTGCTCACCACCATGACCAAGATGGCCACGATAACGATCAGTAACTCCTGCTGTCCCCAGTCCCCCCGCGTGATCTCGGGTGTGATTAAGCAATGTCCTTCTGAGCAACCCCTGGCCTCCATTTCACACCTGGAGAGAGAGAGAGAAATAGGGTCCCTGGCCATTATATTGCCCCTTTCTATGTCCCCTAGTATGAGACAGGAAGTCCCACCCTTTGGGGGAGGGGCCCATGAGTGAGGGGGACATTATCAAACATCAGAACTCTCTCTCTCCTCCCTGGGAAAGTGGGATCTGCTACAGGCTCATTGGTGACTCTTTAGGAAATGGTGTGTCCATTAGTGGCAGCCAATCAGATCCAGGGATGGGATATTCTCTCCACCAATGAGGTCAGAGGTGATTGAAGTGGAAGCCATCCAGACACCCTAGCTGTCCTCTCCCAGTTGCTGCGTGGCCACTGGGACCAGGGTGCTTTACTAGGAGGTCAGAGTGCAAAGGTCACTTGCTATGGGTGTCAAACCTTAAGGGGTAAGAAGCCCAGGGCAGAGGGTGTCCCCAGGGGTTTACCTGTCCCCTGTGTAGGGGTGAGGGCAGTTACAGGAAGTTCCTTCCGGGGAGGACATGCAAGTCCCCCCTTCCAGGCACGGCACGGAAGTGCAATTCTCTCTCTGTAGTTCACAGTGCCGCCCGGAGAATGGTGGGGCACAGCTGCAGACGTAGCCTGGGAGGGAGACAGGAAGGGGGCAGAGGGACTGGCTCGTAGCTAGAGCCAGCTGCTTGCAGATCTGTGTGATCATGTCGACTCAAGAGTCTTAATGTAGGGCTGGGAAGGTGGCTTAGTGGTAGAATGCTTGCCTAGCCTGCTTGAAGCCCTGGGTTTCATTCCTCCATACCATATACATAGAAAAAGCTGGAAGTGGGGCTGTAGCTCAAAATGGCAGAGTGCTAGCCTTGAGCAAAAGAAGCTCGGGGACAGTGCCCAGGCCCTGAGTTCAAACCCCAGGACTGGCAAAAAAAAAGAAAAGAAAAGAAAAGAAAGAAATATTAATGTAGCCAGGTGTTAGTGACCCACATCTCTAATCCGAGATATTCAAGAAGTTAAGGTCTGAGAATCATAGTGCCAGCCTGGGCAGGAAAGTCCATGAGACTTTTCTTGCTAATTAACCACCAAAAAGCCAGAAGTAGAGCTGTGACTCAAGTGGTTCAGCATCAGTCTTGACTGAAAAAACTAAATGAGGACAGGAGGCCCTGAGTTCAAGCCTCAGCGCGCGCGCGCGCACACACACACACACACACACACACACACACACACACACACACACACACACACACACACACCCCTGAATGAGCCAGTCACTCATGGCTAAGTAATTCTACTTAGGAAACTGAGACTTGGAGGACACAGTTTGAAGCCAGCCTGGGAAGAGAAGTCCATGAAAATCCATCTTTGAAATAACCAGCAAAAAATAGGACTGGAGTCATGGCTCAAATGGTAGAGCTCCAGCCTAGCAAAGGCAAGGCCCTGAATTGAGATCTTAGTACCACTCACCGTACCTCCCCCCATACACAATTAATTGCCTTTGGGAACCTGGGGAGTGGAAGAAAGTGGAATATTGTCTAAAGGGAAATAAGGAAGAGTCTTTGCATGAACCACAGATGACAATAAATGCATGTCATCCTTCTATATTCAAACACCTCATTCATTCTCTCCCTCATCCCCCCAAATAGTAAAAGATATGTTTTATTGAAAGCAAAAAAAAAAAAAAAAAAGCCAGGTGCCAGTGGATCATGTTTGTAATCCTAGCTACTCAAGAAGCTGCAATCTGAGGATCAGGTTTCAAAGCCAGCCTGGGCAGCAAAGGCTGTGAGACTCTTATCTCCAGTAAACCACCAGAAAACCGGAAGTGGCACTGTGGCTCAAAGTGATAGAGTGCTTGTCTTGAGCAAAAGAGCACAAGGACAGTACTCAGGACCCAAGTTCAAGCCCCATCACTGACAAAAATAAAATACAATTAAAAAAGACTTGCTTCCTCTAGTTCAAGTCTCACACCCTCCAGCCGGCCATACAGGCTCTGAAAGGAAGAAGGCTGTTTGGTCTCAGGAAGACAAAGTTCTTCACCAAGCCCTTACACTTGACTATCTATGCCACACCAACTTGCAAACCACATGACTTTCCCTCTCTAGTCCCTTAGAGCAGCCCAGCAATCCCCTGAGCTGTGGAGAAAAAAAAAATAGATGAATATCAGCCTGGCCCAGAGCTGGTGGCTCACCCCTATCATCCTAGCTACTCAGGAGGCTGAGATCTGAGGATCTCGGTTCAAAGACAGCCTGGGCAGGAAAATCTGCAAGGCTCCTTATCTCCAATTAACTACCCAAAGAAAACAAAAAGGCAGGGGTGGAGGTGTGACTCGAGTGGTAGAGCGCTAGACCCAGGCCCTGAGTTCAAGTCCCAAAGCTGGCATAATCTAAAAAAAAAGGAAGAAAGAAAAAGGAAAGAAAAGAAAAGGAAGAGAAAGAAAACAGATGTAAATACTCTCTCCTGCCACAGGGGGGCAGTGGAGAGCAGGGGAAGAGTCTGCTTTGTGAACTGCACAGTGGTGACAGGGCCCTTTGCAGAGATTCCTGGGGTCCCGTCTTACCTGTCCCGGGGACCTGCGAGCACGTCCCCCCGTTGAGGCAGGGGTCTGGGCTGCAGGCGTCACTGCGTGGGCAGCACGGGCTGAGGGCCTCTCTCTCCAGCACGCCTGCCGTCCTCTCTGCATGACCCACAAGCTCCAGCCCCTTGCCGTTGACCACCAGGCCATCCAGGCAGCCTTGGAAACCCTGGGTGACATTGGGGGACGTGTGGGAAGGCACAGGGCCGCCACCCAGGATCAGGAGTCTCTCCTCCGGCCCCAGGCCTCGGCAGTTCTCCGGGATGATGAGTGAGGCTTTGCCCGAGCTGTCGGTCAGCAGGCGAACCCAAGCGTCCGTCAACTCCAGCCCCAGGGAATGCCACTCCCCATCATCCACCGGGATCCTGGAGGAAAGGTTGCCATAGAAACCACCTGGACAGCGGTATTCCAGCTGGGGCACACCCCTGGCCAGCTGTGGAGAGAAGAGGGTGGCCATCAGCAATGGCAAGTTGTCCTGCTAACTTTGCCCAGGTCAAACAGCGCTGTTTGTGTTTGCAGTTAGTGTTTGTGGTTGTTTTGGTGTTTGTGGTTGTTTTGGTGTGTGTGTGTGTGTGTGTTCCTGGGGCTTGAACTCAGAGTCTGGGAGCTATCCCTGAGCTTTTTTGCTCAAGGCTAGTGCTCTATCACTTGAACCACAGCCCCACATTGGCTTTTTCTAAGTAGTTTATTGGAGATAAGAGTCTTACAGACTTTCCTGCCCTAGCTGGCTTTGAACTGGGATCCTCAGATCTCAGCCTCCTGAGTAGCTAGGATGACAGGCCTGAGCCACCAGCACCTGGCCCCAAAAGTTCTTTTCTCATCTTTTTTAGGTCTAATTTTTTTATATGAATGAATTCATGTGATATGTCTTTCTGAGCCTGATTGATCTTGTTGGACAGGATGAGCTCTAGTTCCACCCATTTTCCTGCTGATGACAATTCCATTCTTCTTTATGGGTGAGTACTACTCCACTGTACACAGGTACCATTTTTGCTTTTCTCCCCCAGGGCTTGAACTCATGGGCTGGGCACTGTCCCTGAGCTGCTTTTGTTCAAGGCCAGCGCTCTACCACATGAGCCACAGCTTTTTCTGTGTATGTGGAACTGAGGAATCGAACCCAGGGCTTCATGCATGCTAGGCAAGCACTCGACCACTGAGCCACATTCCCAGCCGTGGTATCCTATTTTCTTGCAGCCAACATCCCTGGAAACCTGGTCGGCAGTGGCTTCCGGACATCCTCCAGACCTCCCTGGCCTCGTGGCTAGCCTAGGGCAGGACATGAAATCTCTTCCGCTGGCAGCCTTACCTTCAAGGAAATGGATGCCGAGTCATTAGAGACCAGGAGAATGGCCTGAGGCTGGCGTGTTTGCATGTGGAAATGGATGCGCCAGGTCCCAGCCTGCGCCCGGTACCGCACGTAGCTCTGACCATTGAACCTGGCTGCGGTGCCTACGAAAGCAATCAGAGGTATCACCACAAACTCACCATTATGGCGCCTTTGGATTGTTGGGGGCTTTAGTTTACTCTCTAATTGGACCCTCTGTTGATAAATGAGGACCTGGGGCTCAGAGGATGCGAATGACCCCCCCCCCCCCCAAAGGATAAAATGAGGGCTTGAACTGAGGCTGAGTGTAATTTTGTTTTGCCAGTCCTGGGGCTTGAACTCAGGGCCTGGGCACTGTCCCTGAGTTTCCTTTGCTCAAGGCTAGCACTCTACCACTTGAGCCACAGCGCCACTTCGGTTTTTTTTCTGTGTATGTGGTGCTGAGGAATCAAACCCAGGACTTCATGCATGCTAGGCAAGCGCTCTACCACTAAGCCACCTTCCCCCAGCCTCCAAATGTAAAATTTGAAGCTCATACCCAGCAGGCTGTGGCTCTAACTGTGGCTTTTGTAACTTGTTCTAAGTACTTTCCAAGTACTTGGAGTACTTGGTTCTGAGTACTTACTCTGGGGCAGGCTGTTGTAAGCTAGCAGCAGGAGGTCCAGATTCAGTCTCTACAATAGACCTACCCACGAATCCTCCCATCACGTGGCTACTAAATGGTAGAGCTGAGATTTGAACCCAGGCAGGCTGATGTCAACATCCATGCTCTCTGAGCTATGCTGTGAAACTGATTTGCTAAGTGGCCAGGCGCTGACTGCAATGCCAGAACTTGATTAAACCATAGCACAGAGACCACACCCATCATCATAGCACAGAGACCACACCCATCATCCTAGCTACTTAGGAGGCTGAGATCTGAGGATCAGGGTTCAAAGCCAGCCCGGGCAGGAAAATTTGTGAGACTCTTATCTCCAGTGAACCACCAGAAAACCGGAAGTGGAGCTGTGGCTCCAAGTGGTAGAGCGCTAGCCTTGAGCAGAAAGAGCTCAGGGACAGTGCTCAGGCCCTGAGTTCAAACCCCAGGACCGACCCAAAAAACAACCACCAAAAACCCCATGGCACAGAGCCATGGTGGGATTTGAACACCCGAGTAGACAGGTAAGCCCAGTGATGCGTTTTTTTTCCCAGGCCACGTCTTACCATTACAGGAGCAGCTTCTCTCCAGACGGTGTCGCGGCGTGAGGATGCTGAGCCTGGCTGTGCTATAGGGGGGCCCCACATTGGGGTCCAAGTGCACCATCATTTGGCATGACGGATCCTGGCAGCTCGGTCCCTGGCAAGGCCCCACGGGCAGGGCCGACCTTATCTGAATCCCCACCGACTGTTCCATCTCCTTGGCCGAGTGAACCAAGCCGGACGCCCATTCTTGCAGGTGGTGGAATGTTCTAGAAGGCTCCTCAAAGACCAGGAGCAGATCCACGCCAGGCCCGGCCTGGGCAGGTTGCAGGCTGGCCAGGTGGATGTTGGCACGTTTGATGTCTAGCTTGTGTCTGAGGAAACGCTGGAGGTTTCTCCAGTGATCGCTCACCAGCTCCTCCGGGGTGAGCTGCTGGAAACTCACCCAGAGGGCCTGGCGCAGGGCCTCGCGCCCCGCGTGCCACACGTGGACGTGGACCCCAGCGGTGGTGGCAAAGGTGCCGTCACTGACCGTGACGTTGAAGGAGTAGCGGCCACGGGGCAGTTCCTGGGTGGCGAGAATCTTGCCATCCGTGGACCCCACGGAGAAGCCGGTGCCCAGAGTCTCCTCGCCTGCTAGGCTGTAGGTCAGCGTGTCCTGAGGATCTCGGTCCGTGGCGTGGATCTTCCCCAGCACGCCACCGTGGAACCCCCTCTCCCCGGTGGTGATGAAAATCTCCAGTGGGAGGGCGGAGGGGGGGTAGTGGCTGGGCTCTGTGACGTGGACGTGGACCCACGTTACAGAGGACAGGGGAGGAATGCCACTGTCTGAGGCCTGCGGGGCAAAGGACACGTGGCCATTACTCCCGCATCTCTGCTCCGGGGCTGGCTGCCCTGACCTACACCCACCCCGGCCGGGCTGTGTGGTCATCACTAAAGAGCATGGAACTATGCTAGAGATCTGTGTGTGTGTGTGTGTGTGTGTGTGTATGTGTGTGTGTGCGCATGTGCGCATGTGTGCGTGCTGGGACTTGAACTCAGGGCCTGGGCACTGTCCCTGAGCTTTTTCACTCAAGGCCAGCGCACGACCACTTTCAGCCACTACTCCATTTCTGGCTTTTGGGTGGCTAATGGGAGATAAAGAGTCTCACAGACTTTCCCTGCCCAGAGGCTGGCTTTGAACCAGGATGGATCCTCAGTTCTCAGCCTCCTGAGTAGCCAGGATTACAGGCATACGGGTACCCAGTGACATGTTACTTCATGTGTTCATCTTTTGTCTCTAGTTGAACTGGAACTGTTCCTTTCTCAATCCCAGATTGTATTCCTAGTGAGTTGCATAGGATATGCAAATGAGACAGGGCTTGATTGGCTGGAGCATGGGATATACAAAGGAGAGATTGCTTGACTGGACAGATGGATGGATGGAGGCTAGGATATGCAAATGAGAGACTCCTTGATTGGACAGATGGATGACATCACCCTTGCCTGCCTGGGAGCCCATAGCTCATATCACAGCCAGATGCACTGAACTTGAGGTGGTAGAGCGGGGAGGATCTAGGGGGGTGAGGAGCGGGAGGATGGTCTGACCACCATCTCGGCCACTCTTGTGGACAATTCCTACACAGCCCGGGGGCAGTCCTGTCCACCATCTTGCCCATCGGGAGTCAGAGCTCATCTGGTCCCACACACTTCTGTAAGCTAGGCCTTGTTAGCACCTCAGTTCAGAGAGCAATCCGAGGAGGAACGAGAGCCAGGGTGATGGGCTCTGCCCGGGCACGGCGTGGGCACCGTGCGGGTTCCACACTCAAGAGCGTGACTTCCTAACAGTACCACGAGCCGGCTGCTTCACCTCTGCGTGCCTCAGTTTCCTCATCTGTAAAGTAGTTCTTTATTGTACCTGCCTTAATGAGTGTGCTATGGATGGGGGCAATGTTACTAACATGGGGGGCCCCCAGCCCGGTGTCCAGCACACATGTGGTCTCTATGCTGTTTCTACTGACAGACGCAAGCCGAGCGTGTGTGTCTGATTGCTTCCCGTCCCTGTGGCTGCCCAGCCCCGCGCTTACCTCGACCTGAAGCTGATACCGCTCCTGGGCCTTCCTGCTCAGGGCGCCGGTGGTCACCAGCCACCCATCTGGGGTCACTCGGAAGGTGGAAGCCACGTTCCCCTGCGTGATCCGGAAGGAGTAGGGCGGGCCATTCTCTGGGGAGTCCGGGTCACTCACGATCAGCTGTAAGACTTTACTTCCAACAGGGGAGTTCTCCTGACACAGGGAAGGAGGAGAAGCCAAAGGGGAGGGCTCTCAGCGCTCTGTGCCAGGATGGGCCTGGACTACAGGCTGGCGCTCATTCGCTCTGCCCACCTTTGAGTTGTTGCTTTTCAGCTGGGACCAGCATTGGGTCTTAAAATCAAAACTCGCTAGAGCGGAGATCAAAGGTGAAATCCTTTCCTATAAGACGGGGGAGGAGGGGTCCCCCTCAACCAAGACCCCACAGCTAAGGAGTCGTGAATAGAAATATTTGCATAGGGCTGGGAAGGTGGCTCAGTGGTAGAGTGCTTGCCTTGCATGCCTGAGGCCCTGGGTTCGATTCCTCAGCACCACATACACAGATAAAGCCAGAACTGGCACTGTGGCTCAAGTGGTAGAGTGCTCGCCTTGAGCTGAAGAGCTGAGGGACAGTGCCCAGGCCCAGAATTCAAGCCCCATGACCGATAAAAAGAATAAAAATAAAAGAAAGAATTGAGTAGCTGGGAAGTTCTAATTGCCAGGATCAACTGAACACTTACAAATGGTCTCTTCTTCTAGAAGATCAAATGATGTGGTAGACATTGGATGGGCACATTCAGAAATAATTAAGAATTTAAGAAAAAAATAAAGGAGGGAGGGCGTACTCCCTAATTATCATTCTAGCCTATAGTGTAAGAATTTAGTGTGATAAAACGCCACAGTGTTTATTAGCTGCTTCTTTGGAATCCCAACCTATGAACAGAACCTAGTAGTTGGCGGACACTGCTAATTGCCAACTGAACAGATATTATCTCGCTTTCTCAGAGTCGAGATACCTGAGCAAAAGAGTAAGAGGCAGAGCCCAGGCCTGAGCTCAAGCCCTACAATGGACAAAAAAAAAAGCACGTCCCCTTCTATTTGTCTTTGAAGATGATTGGTTGAGGATGTGATGGTAAACCTTTGGTAGCCACTTTGTGAACATGAGGGAGAAGGTGAAAGAATTTCAAAGAAGCTACCCAAAGCCATGATAGCATCTTCCTTCTCAAACAACCAGTTCTGGAATGGAATTTTCCACCATCCAACTTCTTGCTATATGAAATAATGAGCCTTTGTTACTTAATGAACTTTTCCTTAGGTAATCTGCTATTTGGAGCCAAAGCCTTCTAATACATATGCTAAACAAGTAAGAGTAGAGCCTGCCTAGAGATTGTACCCAGAACTTTGCCCTTTTACCTACCCTGGTCTTTACCTCCCTCATGCTTACAGCCTTGATGGTTCTCAAGGGAACCCAAGGCCCTCTTAAGTCCTATTTGCAAACCAAATTGTTTCGAATAAAGAGAACTTTTTGGATTAAAGCTTTTTTAGTTTGGTTTGGTTTGGTTGGTCCTGGGGCTTGAACTCAGGGCCCTGGTCATTGTCCCTGAGCTTCTTTTGCTCAAGGCTAGCACTCTACCACCTGAGCCACAGCTCCACTTCCGGCTTTTTCTGTGTCTGTGGTACTGAGGAATCGAACCCAGGGCTTCATGCATGCTAAGCGAGCACTCTACCACTGAGCCACATTTCCAGCCAATGCCTGATTATTTAAATCTACAGTCCCCTCTGGCTGGCTGTGTTACCCTTAGACATGACACTGGCAAGGTTATAGCCGTTTGGGTGTTTTGTTCTTCTTGTTTATGGTTTGTTTTTTTTTTAATATTGTGTGTGTGTGTGTGTGTGTGTGTGTGTGTGTGTGTGTGTCAGTACTGGGGCTTGAACTCAGGACCTAAGGGCTGCCTTTAACTCTTTTACTCAAGGCTAGCACTCTACCACTTGAGCCAACCCTTCATTTCTGGTTTTTTTGATGGTTCATTGGAGATAAGAGTCTCACAGGATAATAGACCTGTCAAGTACTTTGATGGCAGTAAATATTTCAAAATGAAAACATAGATAAAATTCTGTTGTACAATTTGAAAAAAAAAAAAAAAAAAAAAAAAAAAAAAAAAAAGAGTCTCACAGACTTCCCTGCGGAGGCTGACTTCAAATAGCGATCCTCAGATCTCAGCCTCCTGAGTAGCTAGGATGACAGGCGTGAGGCGCCGGCGCTGGCTAGCTGTTTCGGTGGACCTGCTGCTGGGAGGGGAAGGAGAGGAGGCAGGGTGCAGGCGCCATGGGTTGGCGAGCTCACCTGGACCGTGGTGCTGTAGTTGAGCTGGAAGAATCTTGGGGGATTGTCATTCACATCAGCCACGTGGACGTCCACCTCGACATCCTCGTGCTGTGGGGGCTGCCCGTTGTCTGTGGCCCGGAGTCTCAGGGAGTAGCTGGACGTCTGTCACAAGAGGCTGCGGTAACAACTAGGTCCCTCACAGGATCTGCCCTTTGACCCACGGCTCAGGTTTCCAGAAAAGATCGAGGGCCCCCCCCCATTCCCGGGGTCCTCTTCCCCTCCCACCCATAGTACTGCTGAGCTCAGAGTCCATAACTCGTAGAGAAAGACCAGCTATGAAACCAGGGGGCTGGGACTAAGCCTATGTTCCCAGGGTTGTTGTTATTATTACTATTATTATTATTGCCAGTCCTGGGGCTTGAACTCAGGGCCTGGACATTGTCCCTGAGCTTCTTTTGCTCAAGGCTAGCACTCTACCACCTGAGCCACAGCACCACTTCTGGCTTTTTCTGTGTATGTGGTACTGAGGAATCGAACCCAGAGCTTCACACATGCTAGGCAAGCATGTTACCATTAAGCTACCTTCCCAGCCCTTCCCAGGATTATTGTGAGGATCAAATGCCATAATGTGTGCAATCATTTTCCCAAGTAACTGACAAGGACCCCAAAACACCCCCACCCCACCTTGCTCAATGGTAGGAATTACCAGGCACCAGTGGCTCACACCCATCATCCTAGCTACTCGGGGGGCTGGGATCTGAGGATGGCAGTTCCAAGCCAACCTGAGAAGGAAAATCCGTGAAATTCTTTTGTTTTTGTCGGTCGTGAGGCTTGAACTCTGGGCCTGGGCGCTGTCCCTCAGCTCTTCAGCTCAAGGCGAGCGCTCTACCACTTGAGCCACAGCGCCACTTCCAGTTTTCTGGTGGTTCATTGGAGATAAGAGTCTCATGGACTTTCCTGCCCAGGCTGGCTTTGAACTACAATCCTCAGATCTCAGCCTCCTATGTAGCCAGGATGACAGGCGTGAGCTACCAGCGCCCTCCTGCCCGTGAAATTCTTTATAAAACTCCAATAAATTCCCAATGTGGAGGTGTGACTCAAATAATAAGAGCACCAAGCCGTGGGCAAAAAGGCTAAACGACAAGGCAAAGGCTCTGAGTTCAAGTCCCAGTACCAGCATGTACACACACACACACACACACACACACACACACACACACACACACAGTGGAAAATGATCTGAATCCCTTGGAAGACAGTCCAGGAATCAGGGGAGGGTGTTGATCGCAACTTGCCCTCTGGCTCTGTTAAGATCCACTTGGGCCCTTGTCACGTGACTCACCTGCTCCCAGTCCAGGGCTTTAGCCACCTGCAGCTCCCCCTTCTTGGGGTGGATGGTGAAGTGCTGGAGCTGATTCCCTCCTACGAGGCTATAGGTAATAGCACTGTTTAGGGGTCCATCCTCATCAGTTGCTGACACCTGCATGGGGGAGGGAGAGGGGGGAGGAAGGAATTATAAATGAAAGCACAAGAAAGATCACAGAGGAATCACAAGCTGCCCCTAGCAGTGTCCCCAACAATGACCACTGGGCCAGCAGCCCCTGTACCACAGACATGGTATGGGTGAAATGTACAGACATGGTATGGATGAAATCTATGGACTCCAGTGCGCCATTCATTCAATCCAGGGACAGGAGGTTGAGGGAGAAGTGTGCCCAAATGTGCATGTCTGAAGAAAATATAACATCTAGTTTTATGGGAGATTCTAAGGGGTGGGAGGGAGGGAGGAGTAAATTATTTGCCTCACGAGAGCATAGAAGTCGATGATATATTCTACCACCTGCGGAGATTAGAAAAGGATTCAGGAAGTCTCAAAGAATGAGGAGGGCCTCATCCTAGTGAGGTCATCCTAGCTCCTCAGGAGGCTGAGAGCTGAGGATCGCAGTCAGAGGCCAGCCTGAAGCAGGAAAGTCCGGGAGACTCTCCTCTCCAATGAAGCCACCCAAAGACTAGAAGTAGAGATGTGGCTCAAGTGGTAGAACACTAGCCTTGAGTAAAAAAAAATCAAGAGACAGCCACCTAGACCCTAAGTTCAAGCTTTGTTACTAGCATTAAAAAAAAAAAAACAAAAAACCAAAAAAACAAGACGATGAGGGATCTAGGGCAGAGAAACCACTTTAGGCAGAGGACACAATGCGAGAGACCACAGATGTGTGGTCGGAGCTTATGGTACTTGTTGGGAAATGGAAGGAGAGCAGTCCAGAAAGGGTGGGTCATGGAGAAGTGGGAGTGTGGGTGTGCATATTTAAATGCATGACTCTAGGCCACACACTATGATCGGCATCTTCCTTCCCAGGCTCAGGCAGGCCTCTAAAGTCTAGCTCTTCCTCGATCTTCTCTCTAGCCCATTCTCTCCCAACCCAACTCTATCGAATGGCTCTGATAGCTTCTGTCAGGAGAGATATCTTGCCCAAGCAGCTACAATTTCCAGTCTCATGTGTAGTGCATTGATTTCTTTTTTCTTTTTATTGGTGAGCATGCCCTTGTTCTGGGGCTTGAACTCAGAGCCTGGACATCGTCCCTGATACTTTGTGCTCAAGGCTAGCACTCTACCTCTTGAGCCACAGGTCCACTTCCGACTTTTTGCTGGTTCATTGGAGATAAGAGTCTCATGGCCTTTCCTACGTGGGCTGACTTTGAACCACGATCCTCAGATCTTAAGCCTCCTCAGTAGGTAGGATTATAAGCGTGAGCCGCTGGTGCCCGGTTGTAGTATATTGACTTGATAAACACATCCATATTCCTGGATGACTGTGGAGGTGAGGAGAAAGAGCCGGGGACCCATCCCCTGTGCCCTCATCCACCAAAAACAAAGCTGGGGATCCTTACTGTGAGGATGACGTTGCCCACGAAGGCGTTCTCTGGCACACTGGCACTGTAGCGCTCCTGGGAGAATCTGGGACGGTGCTCGTTCACATCTGTGATGTTGACCACAATGGTGGCCACATCACTGAGAGATGAGGAGCCCTGGCGGCTGCACTCGATGGACAGGAAGTGCTTGGGGCTTGTCTCAAAGTCCAGGCTCTGGTTGACATACAGGATCCCTGAGAAGGAGAGGTGTGTGGAGGAACTGGGTGCCGGTGGCTCATACCCGTCATCCTAGCTACTCAGGAGGCCGGGATCTGAGGATCATGGTTCAAAGGCAGGTAAGTCCCTAAGAGTCTTATCTCCAATTAATCACATACACACAACACACACAAAGCCGGATGTGGTGCTGTGGCTCAAGTGGTAGAATGCTAGTCTTGAGCAAAAAAGCTCTGGGACAGTGCCCAGGCCCTGAGTTCAAGCCCCACAACCAGAAAGAAAGAAAAAGAGTTATAGGAATAAGAGAAGTCACAAGAAACATAGGGCAGAGGACAGAGTGGTGTGGGACCAGCTTACGAAGCTCAGGAGGCTCAGGAGAGAAGCCCTTTCATTGATTCTCCTCATTGTCCTCTTTCTCTTTCTATTTTTTCTTTTTGGCTTGAACTCAGGGCCTGGGCACTGTCCCTGAGCTTCTTTTGCTCAGGGCTAGCACTCTACTACTTGAGCCACAGCGCCATTTCTGGCTTTTTCTGTGTGTGTGGTACTGTGAATGTCGAACCCAGGGCCACATTCCCAGCCCTCATCTTCCTCTTTCTTGTCCTCTCTTCTCCATCTCCTCCCATTTTCCTTATTGTTCCTGAGAGTCACCAAGTTTCCCTAATTAATTGTGTGTGTGTGTGGTGTGTGTGTGTGTGCATGCGTGTGCGCGTGTGTGTATACCAGTACTGGGGCTTAAATTCAGGATCTGTCCCTGAGCTTTTGCACCCAAGTGCTCTAGTGCTCACTTTGAGCCACAGCTCCACAAAATTCGGGTTTTCTGGTGGTTCACTGCAGATGAACTTTTCCTGCCCCAGGCTGGCTTTGAACCCTGATCTTCAGATCTCAGCCTCTTGGTGTGAGCCCAGGGCGCCTGGCTACGGACATACATTTCTCATTTTCTGGTGTCTTCACTGTAATAAAGAGGAATCATGGGTGGCTCAGGCCCTGTCATCCTAGCTACTCAGGAGGCCGAGATCTGAGGATGGCAGTTCAAAGCTCAGGCCGAGCAGGAAAGGCCAGGAGACTCCGATCTCCAATCAACCATCAGAAAACCGGGAGTGGTGGGGTGGCTCAGGTGGTAGAGCGCCGACCTTGAGCTAAAGAGCACAGGGACAGCACCCAGGCCCAGCAGGGTTCAGGCCCCACGATGGAGGTGAGGATGGGGGTGGGGGTGGGGTCCAGGCCTGGGGATCAGGCCCCACGATGGGGGGGGGTCCAGGCCCAGGGTTCAGGCCCCACGATGGGGGAGGTAGGGGGGGTCCAGGCGCGGGGTCCAGGCCCCCGATGGGGGGTGGGGGTGGGGGGTTCCAGGCCCGGGGTTCAGGCCCCACAATGGGGGGGGTGGGGGGGTCCAGGCCCCACGATGGGGGGGGTGGGGGGGTCCAGGCCCCACGATGGGGGGGGTGGGGGGGTCCAGGCCCCACGATGGGGGGGTGGGGAGTTCAGGCCCCACCATGGGGGGAGTGGGGGGGTCTAGGCCCCACGATGGGGGGGTGGGGGGGGTCCAGGCCCCACGATGGGGGGGGTGGGGGGGTCCAGGCCCCACGATGGGGGGGAGTGGGGGTCCAGGCCCCACGATGGGGGGGAGTGGGGGTCCAGGCCCGGGGTCCAGGCCCCACGATGGGGGGGGTGGGGGGGTCCAGGCCCCACGATGGGGGGGAGTGGGGTATAGAGGCCCCATGATGGGGGTGGTGGGGGGTCCAGGCCCGGGGTTCAGGCTCCACGATGGGGGGTTGGGGGGTTCCAGGCCCCACGATGGGGGGAGTGGGGGATAGAGGCCCCATGATGGGGGTGGTGGGGGGTCCAGGCCCCACGATGGGGGGAGTGGGGGGTCCAGGCCCCACGATGGGGGTGGGGTGGGGTGTGGGGGTCCAGGCCCGGGGTCCAGGCCCCACGATGGGGGGCAGGGGAGGCAGACCCCCCCCCATCTCACCTGTGCCGGCATCCAGGCGGAACCGGCCCTGCTCGTTCCCGCTGAGGAGGCGGAAGCCCGCGTGCCCGGCCCCGGGGCGCGCGAGCGCGGCCAGCGGCAGCAGCGGCGTGCCGGGCGCGGCGTCCTCGCGCACGCGCACGCTGTGCTCCGGGCTCAGGAACGCCGGCAGGTAGTCCTCCAGCCCCACCACCGCGACGGCCACCGTGCCCAGCGCCGACAGCGGCACCGGGCTGCCCAGGTCCGAGGCGCGCACCGTGAGCTCCAGCGCCGCCCGGGCCGGGCCCTGCAGCGGCTTCTCCAGCCGGATCACGCCCGTGGCCGCGTCGATGGAGAACTGGCCGTCGGCAGAATCCGGCAGGGAGTAGACCACCTGCGCGTTGGCGCCTGCGGAGAGAGACCGAGGGGGGCGTGCGTGAGGCCGGCCGCTGGCGCCCCTGGCGGCGCGGTGGGGGTACCGCCGCGTGAGGCCGGCCGCTGGCGCCCCTGGCGGCGCGGTGGGGGTACTGCCGCGTGAGGCCGGCCGCTGGCGCCCCTGGCGGCGCGGTGGGGGTACCGCCGCGTGAGGCCGGCCGCTGGCGCCCCTGGCGGCGCGGTGGGGGTACTGCCGCGTGAGGCCGGCCGCTGGCGCCCCTGGCGGCGCGGTGGAGGTACTGCAGCCCGCCAAGGGAGGCGTCCTCAACCATCAGACAACAAAAGCTGGTGACCCTGGGACTTTGCACCTCAGTTAGAATGAAAAGGAATAAAATACTGTCCTCGTCAGGCGCTGGTGGGCTCCCGTCTGTCATTCCAGCTACTCAGGAGGCTGAGATCTGAGGATCGTGGTTCAAAGCCAGCCCCAGCAGGAAAGTCTGTGAGACTCTTATCTCCCAATAAACCACCAAAAAATCAGAAGCGGCGCTGTGGCGTAAGTGGTAGAGCGCTAGCCTTAAGCTGAAGAGCTGAGGGACAGCACCCAGGCCCAGAGTTCAAGCCCCACGACCATAAAAAAAAAAAAAGATGATAGTACTCATAAACATACATGCTGAATTGAAACTTACTTGTACAACTACTTGAAGAGAACAAAAATTAAACCTGGTGCTAATGGCTCATGCCTATAATCCTAATTGCTCAGGAGGCTGAGATTGGAGGATTGTGGTTTGAAGCTAGCCTGGACAGGAAAGCCTGTGAGATTCTAATCTTCCATGAAACTACACACACACACAACAACAACAACAACAACAATAATAATAACCAGAGTGGCGCTGTGGCTCAAGTGGTAGAGTGCTAGCTTTAAATCAAAGAAGCTAGCTTTGAATCAAAGCTCAGACTCAGAGTTCAAGGTCCAGGTATGACACAAAAAAAAAAAACAATTTTTTTTTTAAAGCAGGGGCTTTGACTGGGTTGTCCAAGGCCTTCCCTGCTCCTTGTGGAGAGAGGTTATCTTTGCAGACTTCCTGTGTTATTTGCAACGTTTTATCTGGAATATCCAATATCAATGTATAGATAAGAATTGTGTAAAATAAAATGCGAATTGTAGTAAACTCCTTAAGGCAACAGAGCAATTCTGCATCTGATTGTGTGTTAGTTACGTGAATCTATACAAGACATCGTACTTCACGCACATACTTATACACACACAAGCTCATGCTACTGATAGGCCCACGAAAGGTTGCAATGTAATCTGAATAATCAGAATAAGCAGTAAATATAGATAGTAGTTCTCTGATTATTATTATTATTATTATTATTATTGCCAGTACTGGGGGTTGAAATCAGGACTTGTGTTTTCTCTTTCTTTTTTTGGGGGGGGGGGGTTCCAGTGGTGGGGCCTGAACTCTGGGCCTGGGCGCTGTCCCTCAACTCTTCAGGTCAAGGCTAGCACTCTGGGACTTGTGTTCTCACTTGTCTTTTTATTGCTCAAGGCGTGTTCTACTGCTTGAGCCACACCTCTACTTCTGGCTGGCTTTTTTTGGTAGTGAATTGGATAGAAGAGACTCCTAGACATTTTTGCCTGGGCTGGCTTTGAACTGAGGTCTTTAGATCTCAGCCTCCTGAGAACCTAAGATTACAACATGAGCCATTGCATTTTGGCTACCTTGAAAGTGTGTGTGTGTGTGTGTGTGTGTAGCCTGGGGCTTGAACTCTGGGCCTGGGCACTGTCCCTCAGCTTTTCAGCTCAAGGCTAGCACTCTACCACTTAAGCCACAGTGCCACTTCTGGCTTTTTTGGTGATTAATTGGAGTTGAGTTGCATAGACTTTTATGCCTGGGCTGGTTTCCAACCGTGATCCTCAGATCTCAGCCTCCTGAGAAACTAGGATTCCAGGCATGAGCCACCTGACTACCTTACATGGAAAATAGTTCAGCTTTAGCATCCAGAAATTGAAGAATGAATCGGAAGCACTACAGTGGTATTAGAACCAAAGGTTCCTTTTTTGTTGTTGTTGTTGGTGGTGGTCATGGGGCTTGAACTCTGGGCCTGGGCGCTGCCCCTCAGCTCTTCAGCTCAAGGAGTGCTTTACTACTTGAGCCACAGCGCCACTTCTGTGTTTCTGGTGGTTCATTAGATATAAGAGTCTCACAGACATTCCTACCTGGGCTGGCTTTGAACTGTGATTCTCAGATCTCAGCCTCCTGAGTAGCTAGGATTACAAGCATGAGCCACCAGCACCTGGCCACAGGTTCCTTTCTTCTATTGAATCCCTCCGAGTTGAACAATCCTGAGAGTGGATTTTTAATGATGCTCAGATCCAACATGGCCTTGAGGAGAAAAACCTCCCTAGGTTAAATGGCAGCCTCCAGTGCTCCCCATCTCTCCCACCTACCTGCCTTGGGGTGTCAGGGGAGAAACAGATAACCTTGTTACCCAAGTATTGTATGCACACATTGCTAAAATCACTTGACCTTGAGCACTTAAGATGGATGAACTCAACATATGTTCCATCCTTACTGGTCTCTGAAGTACCAAACCCACAGTGTGCCTAGAACCAATAGCAGCATGGTAAGAGCGGTGGCTACTTCTTCTTGCTTACCTTGGTCAGGGTCCCTGGCAAATACCACAGCCACAGGGGTCTTCACCGTGGTGTTATCGAAGACAACCACGGCACAGTGGCTGGGGAAGAACCGAGGGGCGTTGTCATTGACGTCTTCCACGTGTAAGGTCACATCTGCCTGGCACGATCGGCCGCCTCCATCTGTGGCCTTGGCAAAGAGGTAATACACATCCTTTTGCTCGCGATCGAGCGCCGTGAATGTGGTCAGCATCCCTGGGAGGAGAAATGACAGGTGCTCAACTTCCTATAGGAGATGTCAACCCCTTCTCCCTCAGAATGGTCTCTCTAGATATCAAGAGGACATAATCTTTAGCCATTGATTTGTTGTTGTTGTTGTTGTTGTCAGTTGTGGGGCTTGAACTCAGGGCCTAGGCATCATCCCTGAGCTCTTTTGCTCAAGCCTAGCATTCTAGCTCTTTGAGCCACAACGCCACTTCAGATTTTCTGGTGGTTCAATGGAGATAAGAGTCTCACAGACGGGGCTGGGAAGGTGGCTCAGTGGTAGAGCACTTGCCTTGTATGCATGAGGCCCTGGGTTCGATTCCTCAGCACCACAAAAGCAGAAAAAATAGCCGGAAGTGGCGCTGTGGCTCAAGTGGTAGAGTGCCAGCCTTGAGCTGAAGAGCTGAGGGACAGCGCCCAGGCCCACGGTTCAGGTCCCAGGACCGGAACCCCCCGCCAAAAAAAAAAAAAAGAGTCTCACAGACTTTCCTGTGGGGGCTGGCTTTGAACCACGATCCTCAGATCTCAGCCTCCTGAGTAGCTAGGATGACAGGCGTGAGCCACCAGCACCCGGTTTAGATTTTTAAAAAATAAATTTGGTGCCAGTCCTGGGGTTTAGAACTCAGGGCTCAGGTGCTATCCCTGAGCTTTTCTGCTAGTGCCCTACCATTTTATTTATTTATTTTATTGGTTATGGAGCCTGAACTCTGGGTCTGGGCGCTGTCCCTCAGCTCTTCAGTTCAAGGCTAGCGTTCTACCATTTGAGCCAGGACCACTTCCAGCTTTTTCTGTGTAGGTGGTACTGAGGAATCAAACCCAGGGTCTTATGCATGCAAGGCAAGCACTCTACTGCTAAGCCACCTTCCCAGCCCATCACCCTACCATTTAAATCACAGCTCCACTTCTGGCTTTTTTTTGGTGCTTCAGTGGAGATAGGAATCTCATGGACTTTCTTGCCCCTGGCCGGCTTTGAACCTTGATCATTTGGTCTCAGCCTCTGGAGTAGCTAGGATTACAGGTGTGCGTGCCATCCACCAGTGCCTGGCTAGCAAAATGGGGTCTCTCGTGGAAGCACACAGTCAGGAAAGAAGCCCAGCCTATATTCGCCAGCATCCACCTGCCCATCTAATCCTCTATCATCAACAAGTTAATAATCAATGACTTGTAAATGAACACTTATTTTGTGTGTGCGCATGTGCTGGTCTTGGGACTTGAACTCAGGGCCTAAGTGCTTTCCCTTAGCTTTTTCATTCAAGGCTGGTATCTGTCACTTGAGCCACAGCTCCACTTCTGGCTTTTTGGTGGTTTAATTGGACATAAGAGTCTCAGGGAACTTTTTTTTTTCTGTGCTGGCTTTGAACCTGGATCCTCAGAGCTCAGTCTTCCTGAGTAGCTAGGATTGCAAGTAGTGTGAATTTCCAGCACTGGACAAACACAAATGTGTCTTCTCCAGGCCTGGGCACTGTCCCTCAGCTCTTCAGCTCAAGGCTAGCCCTCTACCACTTGAGCCACAGTGCCACTTCCAGCTTTTTCTGCTTATGTGGGTCTGAGGAATCGAACCCAGGGCCTCATGCATGCAAGGCAAGTACTCTACCACTAAGCCACCTTCCCAGCCCCTTGTTTGTTTCCTTTTGGGCAGTTCTGGGGCTTAAACTCAGGGCCTATGTGCTCGTTCTGAACTTCTTTTGTTCAATTGAACCACAGCTCCACTTCTGGCTTTTTTTGAGTAGTTTACTGGAGATAAGAGTCTCACAGACTTTTCTGCTTGGGCTGGCTTTGAACCATGGTCCTCAGTTCTCATCCTCTTGAGTAGCCAGGATTATAGACGTGAGCCACTCACACCCAGCTATGACAGAACTTTATGTTCTGGCCTTGGAAATATCTGCAAGACAACTGCTAAATAAAGAAAATCAGGATCCAAAAGAGGATTGCATTTTCTTGAAATAATAACAAGAAGTTGGGAGATATGTAGGGAAAAGCAGTCTGGTTGGGCGCTGATGGCTCACGCCTGTCATCCTAGCTACTCAGGAGACTGAGATCTGAGGATGGCGGTTCGAAGCCAGCCTGGGCAGACAAATCTGTGAGACTCTTATTATCTCCAATTAATGAGCAAAAAGCAGGAAGTCGAGGCATGGTTCAAGCTGAAGAGTGCCTGCCTTGAGAAAAATAAACAGCTCATAGCGAACACAAGGTTCTGAGTTCAAGTCCCAGTACTGACGCACAAATCGAAGCCATCTGAGACCTCTTCAGTGGAGGGGAATGTTTGTTATGCACCCTTCCCAGTTCTGCATAACACACACCTGCTTTGCTGGCCCTTCTCTACCCCGAGATTGTTTATTTCCATTCTCTGAACAACCAAAAAAAAAAAAACCAATCCACCCAGTTTACTTTTCTTTCAAGTCCACACAGAGGCTCCTGCAGCTGAACAAACCACAGAGAGAAAGATACAATGACCTGAGTCATGCAGCAAGCAGAGCTGGGGTCAGGAAGTATGTGGTGGCCTCCTGTCACCCCAGAGTCCTGGGGACACAGCTCTTATTGGCCACTCCTTGCTCAGGAATCTAAGCGAGGGATCTGAGCCAAGAGTTGGTAGCAGGTTTTTGTGACCTGAGTTGGCCTTGCTTCTTCCTCCCCCCCCCCCCCCACTCCCTCCACCGTATCAGAAGACACGCATCCTGCCTTGGGAGTAGGCCGCCATTCACTACCCCATCTCTCCATTGGGCTAAGCTAGCCTCTCCCCTGGCTTTACCCTGAGGGGCTCTCTGCTTCCTCCTCTCTCTTGTGTCTTTAGGTTGTGGTAATCACCATCTTGTGGTGGATTTAGAACAGTTACACCCACTGAATCCTGACCAGCACTGGGTATCCTGGGCATTGTTATTGCCTGTGTGATCTTTACAAAAGTCCTAGGATTCTTGCGTTGAGCATGGTAGTGCCTGCCTATAGTCCCGGCTGCTCAAGTAGGTGTGGTCTGAGGCAGCCTGCGCAAAGTTAGCGTGAACCCTGATTGAAACAACAACAACAACAAACAAACAAAAAGCAAATGAACTGTCAGGCACTGGTGGCACTCACACCTGTCATCCTAGCTACTCATGAGGCTGAGATCTGAAGATCGTAGTTCAAAGCCAGCCCTGGGCAAGAAAGTCTATGAAATCCTTATCTCCGAGGAGCTACCCAAAAGCCAGAAGTGGGGCTGTGGCTCAACGGGGTAGAGCGCTAGGCTTGAGTCACTGACAGCCGCACTTGCAGTGGCTCTAGCTTCGCCAGAGCCTGCATTCCAGCCTCTCCACCTCTGTGCACCAGTGTAGGCTCCCTGCCCCGACCTGCGTGCTCATGTACACCCTACCCCGACAAGGCCCCCGGAATACATTCTGCCAACATGGCTGCTTCCTGTCATCTCTTATTCCCAGCTACTGTAGCCTAAGTCAGTTGCTCTTGTTATACACCCCTAAGCAACCTGTATTTCCTTCCTTTCTTCCTTCCCTCCTTCCTTCTCTCATTCCTTCCTTCCCTCCACCCTCCCTCCCTTCCTTCCCTTTCCTTCCTTCCTTCCTTCCTTCCTTCCTTCCTTCCTTCCTTCCTTCCTTCCTTCCTTCCTTCCTTCCTTTCTCTCTTTCTTTCTTTCTTCCTTTCTTTCTTCTTTTCCTTCCTTCCCTTCCTCCCCTTTTCTTTTTCTTTCTTTCCCTTCTTTCCTTCCTTCCTTCTCTCATTCCTTCCTCTCTCCCTTTCTTCCTCCTTTCCCTTTTCTTTTTCTCTTTCTTTCTCTCTGTTACTTCCCTCTCTTTTCTTTTCTTTTTGGGGGAGGGGTTCCAGTCATGGGGCCTGAACCCTGGGCCTGGGCGCTGTCCCTCAGCTCTTCAGCTCAAGGCTAGCGCGCTCTACCACTTGAGCCACAGCGCCACTTCCGGCTTTTTTCTTTTTGCTTATGTGGTGCTGAGGAATTGAACCCAGGGCCTCATGCATGCAAGGCAAGCGCTCTACCACTGAGCCACCTTCCCAGCCCCCTTCCCTCTCTTTTCTTTCTTTCCTTCCTTCCTTCCTTCCTTCCTTCCTTCCTTCCTCCCTTCCTCCCTTCCTTCCCTCCTTTTCTTTGTTTTGGTGGGTGGTGTGTATATGTCAGTCCTGGGGCTTGAACTCAGGGCCTTGTTCTCTCAATCAGCTTTTTCACTCTAGGTTCGTCCTGTACTATTTGACCTACAGCCCTACTTCCAGCTTTGTGCAGGTTCACTGGAGATAGGAGTCTCGTGAACTTTCCTGCCAGGGTTGGTCTTGAACCATGACCTTCAGATCTCAGTCTCCTGAGTAGCTAGGATTTCCAAGCATGAGCCACCGGTATCTGGCTGTACCTTGTATTTCCAACTCAGCCACCACCCATTCACAAATTAACTTTCTCATTTGATTATGACATAGATCTTATCTTCTCCCTTTGGTGTTTATGTCCCCCAGCATCTATCCTAGTGTTTGTGCGGCAACATGCCAATTTTCTGGATGTGTCTTTGCTGATGGATGAACAGATAGATTAGCAGATTCTTGCTGCTTCTGCCAGCGTGGTACTGAGCACTTGGTATTCACCAAATTGTCCGTGGTTTGGTCTCTGGCGCTCGAGAGACTCACCTGTGTGAGGGTCTAGCTTGAATTCGCTCGCCCCAGGGCCATGCAGACTATATGTGATCTGGGCATTGGCGTCTGCATCCAAGTCCGTGGCAGAAACTTTCAAAATGGAATGTCCTGGAGAGACATCTTCACGGACCTTGCCAGTGTAGACAAGCTAGGAAGGAAAGACCAAGAGGGAGATCTGAGCTGCACTCAGATCTGGGGCGGGGGAGAGATCAGAGAGGGAGACAGAAGCGACTGAGAAAGTACAGATAGACAGAGACACACAGAGAAAGAGAGACCAGAAAAGCAGGGAGAAGGTAGAAAGGCAATGCAGGGACGTAGCTTAGGCTGAAAACACATCAGGAAAATGGAGATTAAAATCCAGAAGTGGGCGGGGTATGAGTAGCTCACATCTGTCATCCTAGCCACTCAGGAAGCTGGGATCGGAGCGTCCTGGTTTGAAGCAGCTTGGACAGCAAAGTCCATGAGACTTTTATTACCACTACATTTCCAAAAGAGCCAGAGGTGGCGCTGTGGCTCAAGTGGCAGAGTGCTAGCCTTGAGGAAAAAAGCTCAGGGACAGCATCCAGGCCCAGAGTTCAAGCCCCATGACCAACAAAAAGAAAAGGAAAAGAAATGGTTTTCTACCTCCAATAGGAAGAGACCAGGCTAACTAAGATCAGTGACAGCCAGTGGATCCTTCTTTCTCCTGCTCTTACCTGACCTCCCCTCCTGGCCTCCATGTTCCAGCCCGATCCTCGCCCAGACTCACCTGGGAGCACTGTGGACTGTTATCATTGATGTCCAGGACAAAGACTTCCACAGGAACCGAAGTCTGGAATTTGCCATCAGACGCTGTGATTCTGAGCAAGTACTTGGCCGTGTGCTCACGATCCAGGGTTTCTTTGGAGGAGATCTTCCATTCGTCGCCATCTTGATGGATGCTGAACTGGCCCAGGGGATCCCCCTCTACAAAATACAATTAAACACAACGGACGCACACCTGCTGAGGAGCAGCAACCAAACTGGGCTTTGCATGTTGCTGGCAGCCCAGCAAGACACTTGCTTAAGGATTGTGAAGAAACACATTTTTTCCCCCTTAACTAGGAGCCCACAATTCTACAGTGAGTTCATTTTGGGGGGTTAAGAAGCCTCTCCCCACTTAAATATCTTCCTTGTAAGTAAGATGCAAGAAATACTATGCCAAAATAATCAGCAGGAAGCCGGGCATCAGGAGCTCATGTCTGAAATCCTAGCTATTCAGGAGGCTGAGCTGTGAGGATCATGGTTCAAAGCCAGCCCAGGCAGGAAAGGCCATGAGACTCTGATCTCCAATAAACCACCAGAAAACCAGAAGTGGCACTGTGGCTCAAGTGGTAGAATGCTTGCCTTGAGCTGAAGAGCTGAGGGACAGCTCCCAGGCCCAGAGTTTAAGCCCCACAATGGGCAAAATAATAATAATAATAATCAGCAGCAGCAGCATCAGGAAGACGTCCTGGAGCTTGAGCTCAGGGCCTAAGCACTGTCCCAGAGCTGTTTTGCTCAAAGCTAGCACTCTACCACTTTGAGCCACAGCTCCATTTCTGGCTGTTTTGGTGCTTAACTGGAGATTAGAGTCTCGTGAACATGGCTGCCTGGGCTAGCTTCAAACTGCGATCCTCAGATCTCAGGCTCCTAAGTAGCATGAGACACTGGCACCTGGCCCACTTCTTGTGGCTGGGCGACATTGGAGGAAGTCAAATGGAAATAAACTTTAGCTTCTGTACGAGAACTGTCTGATATACGCTACTATGAATGAATCCGCAGTAGTATGGAAAGCGATTGACAAAACTCTGATTTTATGATACACCTCCTGGTGGACCATGTGGAGGGCCAATCAGAGCACACTGTATGAGGAAGTCATTTCTCCTTGATGTATCTGTCACCAAGGACAGTGACCGGAAGATTCCAGAGTTATAAGATTCAGCTATTTGCTAGGTGCCGTTGGCTCACGCCTGTGACGTTAACTACTCAGGAGGCTGACATCTGAAGATCGCAGTTTGAAGCCAGCCCAGGTAGGAAAGTCCATGAGACTCTTATCTCCAATGAACCACTGGAAAACCAGAAGTAGGGCTGTGGCTCAAAGTGGTAGAGTGCTAGCCTTGGGCGGAAAAAGCTTAGGGACAGTGCCCAGGCTCTGAGTTCAAGCCCCATGATTGACCCAAAAAAAGAAAGAAAGAGAGAGGAGGGGGGAGGGAGAAGGAAGGAGGGAGGGAAGGAGGAAGGAAAGAAGGAAGGAAGGAAGGAGCAACATCTCATGCATTAGGAATAAAATTGCTGCTATAATCAAGAAGAGTGTGGGCTGGGAAGGTGGCTCAATGGTAGAGTGCTTGCCTTATATGCATGAGGCCCTGGGTTCGATTCCTAAGCACCACATAAGCAAAAAGAAAAAAGATTAACATTAGAAGACTGTATCTGCCATCAGACATACCCTCAATCTTGCAAGACCACCATTAAAGTCTTGTTTGGGGCTTCAATTCTTGCCTCTGAGCCCCTCCTTTGAACTCAGGAGGTGAGGGTGCTCTCCTAAGATAAGATTCTATTTTTCTAAGACTACAGATCTTGTCTGTGTCTCCAGGAATATATGATTATTTTTTATTTTTGTCAGTTGTGGGGCTTGAACTCAGGGCTTGAGTGTTGTCCTGGAGCCACAATAACACTGCGGGTTTTCTGGTGGTTAACTGAAGAGTCTCATGGACTTTCCTGCTTGGATTGTCCTCAAACTGTGATCCTCAGATTTCAGCCTCCTGAGGAGTTAGGATGACAGGCGTGAGCCACCAATGCCCAGCTTGCAATGTACGTACTTTTCTGTTTTTTTGGTCAGTCGTGGGGTCTGAACGCTGGGCCTAGGCGCTGTCCCTCAGCTCTTCAGCTCAAGGCTAGCGCTCTACCACTTGAACCACAGCGCCACTTCCAGCTTTTTCTGCTTATGTGGTGCTGAGGAATCGAACTTAGGGTCTCATGCATGCCAGGCAAGCGCTCTACCACTGAGCCACCTTCCCAGCCCCTGCAATGTACTTTCTAAGAGCTTTTCCCACTTAGATCTTCTAAGCATCCTGAGAGGTGAATGAGAACTGGTTCTCTAGCATGACAAATGATTGGTGGAAATGCTACTGATCTAGGACTTAATGCAATGTACCTTAATGCTTTTCTGTCTGTACTCTGCTCGGGGCAGCCTGCTCCTTGTGATGCATGATGACACAGGTCCTTACCTGTGATGTAGCAGGTGACCTGTCTGTTCTGCTCAGAGATGTCAGCATCCAAAGTCTTTAAGGTTGCTACCAGTTCTCCTGGCTCACCGTTCTCCACCACCGAGCCTCTGTAGTCTTCTAAAGCAAATCGAGGAGCGTTGTCATTTTCATCGGTGATGAAGACCTCAACCAGGGCTTGGGAGGATAACTGGATGGTCCGTCCATGATCAGAGGCGACTACGTAAAAGTGATAAGTCTGTTGGGCCTCACAGTCAAGTTCTTGGAGCGTGGTGATCCAACCACTGTCACTATCAATGGCAAACAGCTCGTGGATCTGACTACCAGACTCTGCCAAAAGCCTATAACTCACTTGGCCATCACTGCCAGTGTCCTGGTCATTAGCTGTCACTTGGATGACCGTGGTCCCTCCGGGCATATTCTCAGTGAGGAAAGCCTTGTAGGGATCCGCCTCAAATATAGGCCTGTTGTCGTTGACATCTTCCACTTGGATGTTGACAGAGACCAAAGACACCAAGTCGGTGTCCTCATGGGGGCAGTGAGCCATCAGATCGATCTGGTACCATTTGGTGGACTCATGGTCAATGGGTTTCCTCACTTTCAAGACCCCGGTGTCTTGATCCAAGGAGAAAACCCCATCTTTGTTACTCTCGGGTGTGGTACCTTCCACTAGACTATAGATGATTGGATCTTGACCGGCCACAGCTTTAACAAACCCAATTTCAGACCCTTCTGGGAGGTCTTCGGCTGCAGAGAAAGTATACAAAGGTTCCGAGAATTTGGGTAAAGAGACTTCATTAGGAACAACCTGAAGTCGGATGGGCACCAAAGATTCCCAGTGAGGAGGACCCCCATCCTGGGCTTTGATCTGGAAGTCAACAGCCCTGTTTTCCAATCCTACCAGGCTCTCTTTCACCTTAACCACTCCAGTGCTTGGGTTGATGGTGACGATCTCTCCAACCAGGACTTCCGGGGAGTCAACGGAGTAGGTCACATCGGCATTCCGGCCTTCATCGGCATCGTAAGCCAACACCTGGATGACCGGAGAACCCCGGCTGACATTGGACGGGATGGATACAGTGTACCCAGAGGCCTTGAACTGTGGGGGGTTGTCATTTTCATCAGTGACAATGATCTTCACAGTACAGAAGGCCACTTTCCCCCCTCCGTCCCTCGCCATGACTTTGATGGCGACCACTCTTTCGGTGGAATTTTCTCGATCTAATTCCTGCAGTGTGGTGATCTGGCCGCTGGGGTTGATGGTGAACTTCTCCCCTGCCAGTTTATTGATTATTGTGTAATCTACTGTGCCGTAGGGACCGCTGTCCTTGTCGATCGCCAATAACTCGATCACCTTTGTTCCCACTTTGGCGTTCTCGGCTAATTCTGCCTCGTAAATGTGCTGCTGGAACTCTGGGCTGTATTTGTTGGCATTGGTAGTGTTTATATACACAGGGACGGCAGCCCGGAAGACCCCATCAGAAGCACCTACCCTCAAATGATAAGAAGATCCCAATTGTTTCTTGCAAAGATTGAACATAGAAATGACCCCCGAGGAGCTGTTAATGGAGAAGTGTCGGTCTTGATTGCCAGAAAGAATCAGGTACTCTAGGCGGGAAGTATCTCCCAGGTCAGGATCGAGAGCCTGGACTTTAAGAACCAAGTGGCCACAGGTCGCTAGCTCACTGACAGTGGCTTCGTACTGAGGCTGCTGGAACTCAGGGGCGTTGTCATTGACATCAGACACGTTCACAATCACAAGGGTTTCTCCAGTGAGAGGAGGATCGCCCCTGTCCACAGCCCTGACCTTCACGTGAAAATATTGCTGGACTTCATAATCCAATTCCTGAGCAGTGAACATCTCCCCGGTACTCCCATTGATCTGGAAAACATCAGAGACCCCCGATCCATCCTCCAGGATCTGATAGGAGATATCACTGTTCTGCCCAGAGTCTTGATCAGAAGCTAACAGTTGGATCACAGGGGTATGAGCAGGGAGACCTTCGGAAATCGAAGCGGTGTAGACCAACTGGGGAAACGTGGGAGGATTGTCATTCACATCGCCCACCAAGACTTCCACTATGGCTTCAGAAAAGGAGCCCAGCGCCGTATCCGTGGCACGGACCGTGAACACGTGCTTTCTCCGAGATTCATAATCTAAAGGTCCTGTCACGGTGAGGACGCCGGTCTTGAAGTCAGTTGTAAAGAGCATCAGGGGTTCTTCCTCTACGATATTGTAGATCAGTCTGAGGCCTTCCGGGCTCCGCGCTTGGGTATGAAGGATGGGCGTGTAGAGTGTGATGTTCTCGGGAACTCTGACTTTGTAGTAAGGACTCTGAAAGAGTGGATTGGATTTATTTCTCACGATCACCAGGACTTCTTCCTCCGTCTGCAAAGCGGGGGTTCCTCCATCCCGCGCGATCACTTTGAGGCGATACTTATTTAAAGCTTGGTAATCAAAAGGTTTCTTCAGGGTAATGTCTCCCACGTAAGGGTCAATTCGGAAATAGGTATACTCTTCGGCAAAGGCAAACGTGACCGTCCCATTGGCTCCCAAGTCTTCATCCGTGGCCGATACCTGAAACAGGACGTCTCCTGGCTCCGTGCCATCTTGGATGGTTGTGTAATAGGGCAGATGCTGAAACACAGGGGGACTGTCATTAACATCCTCCACGGAGACCCTGACCAATGCCTGAGCCACCCTGGGAGGGACACGATTGTCCCTCACTTCCACCGCCACCACGTGAGTGTCCTGCCGTTCCCGATCCAAGGCCACACCTCTCGTTTGCAGCACCCCTGCTGACCTGACCATGCGAAAGCAATCCGTACCATTCAGGAGGAAGAAGGAAAGGGTGTCATTCACACGGTGGCCCTGGACACGGAGAATCACCAAGGCTTTCCGCTCCTGGCTATTCTCATCCACGCTTGCGCCATAAACCTCCCGATCGAAGCGCAAACTGTTGTCAGGGTTGTGGGCCAGAGAAATCTTGACCAATGCTGTGTCTTGATACACACCATCAGAGGCCCGGATGAAGAGCTTCCTCGGGGCCCCCAGGAGGGCGGGATTCAGCACAGAGAGGCGACCGCTGAGGGGGTGAAGGGCCACGGCTTCATCTGTGTTACCAGTTTTGATGCTGTAGTGGATTTCTGAGTCCTCATCACTGGCTCGAACCACAAGAAGCTCCATCCCTGGGTGGGTGGGTCCCGTGAGTGTAACTTCATAAATCTGCTCTGAGAACCTTGGGGGAGAATCATTCACGTCTCTGACCTTGACGATGACCTTGGCAGGCCTGGGTGCAAACAAGAGGGGATTCCCTTGGTCGTGCACGTAGACGTTGAACTGGAGAGAGGGTGTGGCCTCATAATCGATCTCTGATGCCATGGTGAGTGTCCCCATACTGGGGTCTATTGTGAAAAACTTTAGGGCTTCTGGTTGTAAGATTTGATACACCAACAAGGAGTTGGCTTCTTTGTCCAAATCGGAGGCACGGATGACGAATGGCTGGTTTTTCTCATCCACAATCAGACTGTGCAATGGAGCTGCTTCACTGACGGAACCCACAAACGTGGACTTGAAGAACGCAGGTGCATTGTCGTTGTCGTCGATGATGTAAACCAGGACCACGACATCGGTGTAAGTACCTGCCATATTGCTGCCCCGGATCTTCAGTTGGTAAGATGAGATTTTCTCATGATCGAAGGTCTTCTGGGTGGAAAGGAGGCCAGAATAGGAATTCAGGGAGAACACGCTATCCTTATTTCCTTCTCTCAATTCATAGGTCACTTCTGTGGGACTGGTAGCAGATACCAGGAGGATCGGTGAGCCATGAGGGATGGATTCGGGGATCTCGATGAAGTACTCAGGTTGTGAAAAGATAGGAGCGCTACTGTCTGAGGGGTAGACATGAATGATCACCGTAGCCAGGTCTTGCTTCTGTGGGGAACCTTGATCTTCGGCCTTCACGGTCAAGGTATACCGGCCGTGATTTGTCTGATTGAGTTTCTGGGCTGCTGTGATGATACCTAGGAGGGAATCGATGTTGAAGAAATCCTCACTGTTGCCTGAAAGAGAAGATGAGACCAAAGAGCTCCATGCATCCTCAAGGGACAACAATGACACTATTATTATTACTATTACTATTATTGTTGTTATTTTGGCCATAGGGCCTGGGTATTGTCCTTGAGCTCTTTTGCTCAAGGCTAGTGCTCTACCACTTTAAGCCACAGTACCACTTTTGGTTTTCTAGTGGTTCATTGGAATAGAAGAGTCTCATGGACTTTCCTGCCCAGGCTGGCTTTGAACCGTGATCCTCAGATCTCAGCCTTCTGAGTAGCTAGGATGACAGATGTGAGCCACTAGCGCCCAGAGAAAGCTCTGATTTCCTGAAGATACAAAAAATGAACATTGTGGTCTAGGAGGTGGAAAGAAAACCTTGTTCCTCTTTGTCTTTCCATAGTAAGTATCCATAAATGTTCATCATGATTAAAGGTAATTATTACTGAATGCCACTAATTATGCATTATTACCATTACAAATTACCCTTAATCATCCATTGGAAACTGGATATTGTCACTTTAGTTACGTTAATTACTTATAATTGACACTCGTCAATAATAGTACAATATTTTATGTATTAACACACATTTGTGTGTGTGTGAGTGTGTGTGTGTGTGTGCTGGTCCTGGGGTTTGAACTCAGGGTCTGAGCTTCTTTGGCTCAAGGCTAGCACTCTAACCTCTTGAGGGACAGCTTCACTTGTAGCTTTTTGTGGTGCTTAATTGGAGATAAGAGTCTTATGGACTTTTCCTGCCCAGGCTGGCTTTGAACCCTGATCCAGAGATCTCAGCCTCCTGAGTTGCTAGGATTATGGGTATGAGCCACCAGCACCTGGCACATTTTTCTTTTTGAATCTTCACAACTTTCTTTTTTTTTGGGGGGGGAGGTCCGGTCATGGGGCCTGAACTCTGGGCTTGGGTGCTGTCCCTCAGCTCTTCAGCTCAAGGCTAGCACTCTACCACTTGAGCCACAGCACCACTTCCGACTTTTTTTCTTTTTGCTTATGTGATGCTGGGGAATTGAACCCAGGGCCTCATGCATGCAAGGCAAGCACTCTATCACTGAGCTACCTTCCCAGCCCCTCTTCACAACTTTCTAGCAAAGGTAATACTCCCATTTTCATGATGGCAAAAACCATAAAGCACATGCTAAGTCATTATGTGACCTTAGCAGAAAATAAAAGTTATCCTTAAAAGCAATAGCATATCATGCCTGTAGTCTTAGCTACTCAGGAGGCTGAGATCTGAGGATCGAGATTCAAAGCCAGCCTGGGCAGGAAAGTCTGTGAGACTCTTATCTCCAATAAACCACAGGGAAAAAAAAAAAAACTGAAATGGCATTGTGGCTTAAGTGGTGGAATGCTAGCCTTGAGCCGAAGAGCTCAGGGACAGCACCTAGGCCCAGAGTTCAGGCCCCATGACTGACAAAACAAAATAGCATACAATCTATAAAAATAAAAAACTTACACATCTTCCTGATACACATACAGGAACTTGCTGTATTCTCAAACCTTGCTCGACTTGCACAAGTGCCTTTCACATATATGGTCATTGAGTGGTGTACATCTTACTGTGTGTAAATGCTCCCCAAATGAGAGCAAAGTCCAAGAGCTGCTATCGCTAATTAACCAGCAAAATGCTGGACTGGAGGTGTGGCTCAGGTGGTGGAGCACCATCGATTTATTATTTATGATTATGATTGCCAATCTGGAAGTACATTAGCTCGGGTGATTCTAGTTCCACAGGATGCTCTAGAGCTGTCCTTGACCTATGCTTAAGACAGCTTGGTACTTGATTAATCCGATCATCGATTCATTTCAGAAGCAACTTTTCTCATCTTCAGAAACCCTAGCCATTCTCACCTTTCAGGAGGGAGTAATGGATCTCCGCATTGGCTCCCCGGTCAGCATCCACGGCTCGGACCTGGAGCAGCTCTGTGCCTGGGACTGTTGTGTCGGGGACCCTGGCTTCATAATGAGGCTGGATGAACTTGGGCTTGTGGAGGTTCCCATCTTCCACGTGAATCGTCACCCACACAAAGTTCCTCTTGATGGGCATCTCTTGATCGCGAACCTAGGGACCCAAAGGAGGGACCAGGATGAGCTTCAAACTGATGGGGGGAGGCTGGGTTTCGTAAACTCCATGAAAGAGAATGGCAGTGAAAATGATACCTCATCCGTGCATATTTCTTTAAATCCTGGATCAGCCCCTACGCTCTTCTTCCCTCCCTCCCTTCCTTGCTTGCTTCCTTCCTCCTGTTCCCTTCTCTCTCCTTCCTTCCTTTCTTTCCTTCCTTCCTTCCTCCCTTCCCTTCCCCTTTCCTTCCTTCCTTCCTTCCCCTTCCTTCCTTCCTTCCCTTCCTCCCTCCCTCCTTCCTTCCTTCCTTCCCTCCCTCCCTCTCTCCCTCCCTTCCTTCCTTCCCTCCCTCCCTCCTTCCTTCCTTCCTTCCTTCCTTCCCTCCCTCCCTCCCTCCCTCCTTCCTTCCTTCTTCTTTTTGCAGATAAATTCACCAATTCATGATGATCAGTCTTAACTTGTTTTCTTGTATAATTCTACTTGAAGAGAAAAGGAGAGACAGAGAAATTTTATTTTCCAGGTTAGGTCTTGAGAGAAGTTAGTTCTTGGAGATGTTAGCATGTTGTACAGGAAACAAAAATGCTATGTGGTCTCGTGAATTTGGGAAACGCTAAATTAAATGAGGTGAAAACAGTTATTATCTTTTTGTGTTTTTTTTGGGGGGGGGTCCGGTCATGGGGCCTGAACTCTGGGCTTGGGCGCTGTCCCTCAGCTCTTCAGCTCAAGGCTAGCGCTCTACCACTTGAGCCACAGCGCCACTTCCAGCTTTTTTCTTTTTGCTTATGTGGTACTGGGGAATCGAACCCAGGGCCTCAGGCATGCAAGGCAAGCGCTCTACCACTGAGCCATCTTCCCAGCCCATCTTTTTGGTGTTTTTTTTTTTTTTGGTCAGTTGTGGGGCTTGAACTCAGGGCCTGGGCACTGTCCCTCAGCTCTCCAGGCGAGTGCTCTACCACTTGAGCCACAACGCCACTTCCACTTTTCTGGTGGCTCATTGGAGATAAGAGTCTCACAGACTTTCCTGCCTTGGCTGGCTTTGAACCAGGATCCTCAGATCGCAGCCTCCTGAGTAGCTAAGATTACAGGCATGAGCCACAGGCACCCAGCAAGTATCTTCATTTCTGAGACCGCTCAGAGACTTCAGAATATACTAGTGTGTGTATCCTGATGTGTGTGTGTGTGGGTGTGTGTGTGTCTGACATACACTAATATGTGTATCTGAGGTCTGGGAGACAGGAGGCCAGATTGACTCAGGTTTCATCTGAAGCTAAATAACCTGTATGACGGCGAACACATCTTTCTACTATGGGACAGGCAATAAGATGAGAGTAATGGGTGGTCTCATTGCTAGGATGAATGCGGTAGGTGCAACATTTAAGGGTGCTCTCATTCTCAAGACTGGGAATAACCCTGTCCACAGAGTGATCGCTTTGGCCATCCACACATCGGGCTCGTCAGGAAAGCCCTTCCATACATTCCCCATGTGGCCACCGCACACCCCAGCACATCTGCACCCCACTTCCAGATTCCCTCACCATAACGGTCAGCGTGTGCTGGGAAGGTCCTGAGCCCAGATCCAATTTCCCCACTGTCACTAAAGCACCGCTGTTGGGGTCCAGCTGGAAGAGGCCAGTGCTTCCTGGGTCTTGGCTGCCCTGGATGGTGTAGATGAGACCCTTGCCCTTGTCTTCATCCGTAGCTTGGACTCGCAGGAGCTCCACCCCAGCCCGGGTGTCCTGAGGGACCCGGACCTCATAATGCGGCTTCCGAAACTGCGGCCGGTGACGGTTCACGTTGGCGATCATGAAGATGTAGACCTGGAGAGATGGCGCCACAGAAGGCGGATCGTGAGATGCATGCGGACCACACAGGGAACTGGATGTGTCTGTACCCTTCCCTGTGCCATCCCAGGGCCCGGGATCCACCCAGCGGCTGCTCTGTGCCACAGATCACAGGCTGAGTGAGTGAGAAGACTTCAAAGCCAAAGCCAGTGGCTTCCAACAACAAACAAAAAAATCATTCATTGGCCCTTTCTTCCTTCCGTCCTTCCTTCCTTCCTTTCTTCCTTCCTTTCTCTGTCTCCATTCCTTCCTTCCTCTCTTCCTTCCTTCCTTCCTTCCTCACTTCCTTCCTTCCTTCCTTTCTCCCTCCCTTCCTACCTCTCTTCCTTCCTTTTTTCCTTTTCTTCCTTCCTTCTTCTCTCCTTTCCTTTCTTCCTTTCTTCCTTTCTTTCTTCCTTGCTTCCCTCCCTCCCTCACTCCTTCTCTCCTTCCTTCCTTCCATTCTTCCTTCCTTCTTCCCTCCCTCCCTCCTCCCCTCCCTCCCTCCCTCCTTCCTTCCTTCTATCTTTCTTTCCTTCCTTCCTTCTTTGGTACCAGTCCTGGGGCTTGAACTCAGGGCCCGATCATTGTTCCTGAGATTTTTCTCTACCACTTGAGCCACTGCTCCACGTCCAACTTTTTTGGTGGTTCTTTGGAGATAAGAGTCTCACAGACTTTCTTGCTGGGCTGGCTTTAAACTACAATCCTCAGATCTCAGCCTCCTGAGAAGCTAGGATTACATGTATGAGCCACTGGCACCCAGCTCACTGGCTATTTCTTCCAATGAATTGTATAAAATCCAATCCACCAAACCAAGACTTTCTATTTCAGCCAGCCTTGAAGTGGGGAGCTCTCTTCACTGACAATCATTCTTTGTGGCCAAAATAGCTCCCTGGCATCCTAGGTTTAATTAGAACTGCTCATTTGGACATGTCGGGGGGCGGGGAATCTGTGTGGAGCAAAGATTCCCCCCAAGATTGCAGAAGTAGAATGTTATTAAAGGAAGACCGGAGCCAGAACTTGGACTGTAATTCGAGCATTCTTGGAGGCGGGCCACACCCACAGGAGACCTGTGGCTCCTGTCCAACCAAGCAGGCCACTCCCCACTACCCCCCCCATGGTCCCAGGGCAGGAATTGCAGGCTGAAGCCCATCACCTGAGTGGCAATGGTGTGGAATCCATCGGTCACCTCCACTGTCAAGTTATAGCGGGATCTTCTCCTTGTGTCCAGAGGTCTGGCGATGACGATGCTGCCTGTGGTCTTCTCGATGTCAAAGTCCATGTCTTTGTCACCATCTGGGGGAGGGGGGAAGGGGAGAGGAGATCACACGTGGCCTTGATGACAGGCTGCAGTCATCCAGTGTGAATGTGGCTGTGGCTATCAGATTTACAGCTTGGGACTGACCTTGGCTGACCTTGGCTGATCAAGACTCAAGGAAGAACGCGAGTCAGAGGAGCCTAAGAGTGTTTTAAAAACTGTTGCTAGCTGGGTGGCAGGCTGGAGGTTAGCTCCTGGGAAATCCTAAAAAGCTACCACTAAGTCAGGTGCTGGTGGCTCAGGCCTGTCATCCTAGCCACTCAGGAGGCTGAGATCTGAGGATCGCAGTTCAAAGCCAGCCCGGACAGGAAAGCCTGTGAGACTCATGTCTCAATTAAACATCCAAAAAAGCCAGAAATGGAGCTGTGGCTCTAGTGGTAGGGCACTAGCCTTGAGCAAGCAGGAGTTCAGGGACAATGCCCAGGCCCTGAGTTCAAGCCCCAGGACAGACAGACAGACAGACAGACAGACACACACACACACACACACACACACACACACGTGTGCATGCGCAAATAGGAATGAGAATAGGGCTTGTGCTACAGTTCAGTGATACATCACATGCTTAGCATTCTTGAGTCAAAAAGGAAAAGAATTAAAATAAAAATAAGAAGAAAAACAGGACACTGTGTATGGCCACAAACTTATTTCAAGTTCACAGTCGACCAATTCATTCTATGTTGATTTTATGGTTTCACTTCTGGGACTTTTTAGAGACCATTCATCTTAGTAACTAAGATACTGCCCGGCTCTAATCGGGGTCACCAGGAAGACTGGGGAGGTGATCCACTGGAGATCAAGTTTGTAATGGCAACATGGCTGACATAAATCATTTTCATTGCACTCTGGCCACTAATCAGGATAAGATCTGGAGGACAGAGGTTCAAAGCCAGCTCAAGAGGGAAAGTCTATGAGCTACACCATCTCCAAAATGACCAGCAAAAAATAGCTGGGCTGGAGCCATGGTTCAAGGAGTAGACTACCAACTGAGTTAGCAAATGACTCAAGTATAGAGCCTTGAGTTCAAAACCAGGTACTGAGCCAGGAGCCGGTGGCACACGCCTGTAATCCTAGCTACTCAGGAGGCTGAGATCTGAGGATCGTGGTTTAAAGCCAGCCCCGGCAGGAACATCTGTGAGATTCTTATCTCCAATAAACCACCAGAAAACTGGAAGTGGCGCTGTGGCTCAACGTGATAGAGCTCTCACCTTGAGCTGAAGAGCTCAGGGACAGCACCCAGGCCCAGAGTTCAAGCCCCACGACCACGACAAAAACAAAAAACAAACAAAAACCCTGGAAGGGTTGAGAAAGGGTGAATGCCACTCAGGGGTAAAAGGTATACGCAGGAGAGGGAGGGGTGTCAGAAAGATAACCCGTGAGGACCAAGGCTGGTCTAGCATTTTCCTTGGATCTCACCTGAGATGTTGAACCAGAAGAGGCCAGGCCGGCCTTCTACACTGATGACCCCTAGCATATGGTTTACGGGGTCTGTCTCCATGACCGTGAAGCTGTACTGGGGTTCATCAAAGATGAGGGGTACGGAGGATGGCCGAGGCTGAGGAATCCACTCAATATGTAGCCGGACGCTGGTTGAGAGTGGCGGTTGCCCACTGTCGGTTGCCTTGATCTAAAAAGACATCAACACCTGTATTTGAGCGCTCCTTCCCATCTGCTCGCTCATTCATGGAACACACACATGAAGTCTGACTAGAAACAGGCACCAGGGCTCGTTTCCAGAAGCACCATGAGTATCGGAGGTCCAGAACTTCCTGGTTTGAGGACAATAATCAAAACCACTCTTTTTGCTGTTGCTGCTGCTGCTGCTGGTAGTGGTGGGGCTTGAACTTGGGGCCTGGGCTCCGTCCCTGAGCTTTTGTTTTTGCTCAAGGCGAGCACTCTACCACTTTGAGCCACAACGCCACTTCCGGTTTCCTGGTGGTTCATTTGGAGATAAGAATCTCGGGGTCTTTCCTGCCAGGACTGGCTTTGAACCATGATCCTTAGATCTCAGCCTCCTGAGTAGCTGGGATTACAGGCGTGAGCCACCAGCGCACCCAGTTAGGCACATCTTGATTCCAACCCTACCCCACCTCACCCCATTCACTAAATTTTCATCTGGAGGAACAGAGTGGATTCCCTAGTTCTTTACTTAAAGAGAAAGGCCTGGAATTCTGATCCTGGAGTGAGATGAGGATTTCCGGTTTCTCTGGGCAGAGACCCGGAAGATGATTGCTGCTTCCACTGCACTGACAGTGGTCTGTCTGTCCTCCTCTCCTCCAGTCCTTCCCGCCCCTCTGGCTCCATGGCCTCCCCCTGTCTCCGCTCACCGTGAGGATGTTATATTCTCCAGCTGCAAAGGTACTGCTGGATGACACCACACCGATGCCTGGGTCGATTCTGAAGCCCTCCTCATCGCTCTCTTCGATACTGTAGGTGACTCTGCCATTGAGACCCTCATCCGGGTCTGAAGCCACCAGCCTGTACACAGGCCCAGGAGGCACGGGGCTCAGCCTCTCTGGAAGGCGGACATTGAGGAGCTTGTGGGAAAACACAGGCGGGTTGTCGTTGACATCCAAGATGCTCACCACCACTCTGGAAGTGGACTTCAGGAGGGGTTCTCCATTGTCCAGCACAGTCACCTGGGGACAGAATGCAGCGGGGAAACATCTGGATTAAAAGTCACAGCTTTTCCAGGCTGCAAAGGGCAGGCAGTAGTCCTGGTTTGGAATACGCTTATTATGGCTATTCGCATAACCTCACCCACTTGGAACATAGCTCTCCGGGAACCTTACACACAAGAAAATCAGGGAGAACAGGAGAAAGAAACGAGAGGGAACAGGAAGAAGCCAAAGCCAGAGTCTCTGGGCCCAAGCTGGTGCTCTTTCCCCTGGGAAAGCCCTCTGGACCATTTCTTAGAGACTAGCTTGTAATCTTCAGCTTTCCTCAAGCTGCTTCGAGATGAGATGTTCATGCAGGAACAGGTGGAGACTTCTAGGCCAAATATACAGCCAGATGTATGAAATAAAGTCTAGATGGAGGGAAAAGGCTCTAAGGCAATAGCAGAAGAAAGAGCTACTCTGTACAGGGGCCGATGGTCCCAGGTAAAGACCTGGTAGGAGAGAAGGTAGGGAATTTGATTCACAATGATTCAGGATTTTGTTCTGTGTTTAGATTTGTGGGAATGTAGTTTAGTGGGAGATCACTTGTCTAACTGCACAAGGCTCTGGGTTCAATCTCTAGCATCACACATCTATATTTCTGTGTATTTATCTATCATCCATTTGTCATCTATACCTGTCTATCACGATCAACTCTCTGTCATCTATCTGCCTATCTCTTAGCTATATCTATCATCACCATCTGTCATTTATTTATCTATAGGTATATAATTATCTATATCTATTATATCTATCATCTATCTATTTGTCATCTAGATCTATATCATCCTCATCATCTATCTTTCATCTATTTATCTACATCCTTTTGGGGTTTGTTTGTTAGCCGTGGAGCTTCAACTCTGGGTCTGGGCGCTGTCCCTCAGCTCTTCAGCTCAAGGCAAGTGTTCTACCACTTGAGCCACAGCGCCACTTCCGGTTGTCTGGTAATTAACTGGAGATAAGAGTCTCACAGACTTTCCTGCCTTGGCTGGCTTTGAACTGTGATCCTCAGATCTAAGCATCCTGAGTAGCTAGGATTACAAGCATGAGCTACTGGTGCCCAGCCTACCTATCTATATCTGTCTGTTATATGTATATATTGTCACAATTTGTCATCAATCTGTATCTATCTATTATATCTACCAATCAATCAAGCTGTCTGTCTCTCTGTAGATATCTGTTACTGAGCTATGAACAATGCTTCCTGCTTCTGTCCATATGAATCTTAAGAGGCCATTTAGCTATTACTTCCTAACAATACCCAGTTCTTTCAAGAGAAAAGAAAATTTCCAAACTTGCAAGCTTGGAAGGAAAAAATGATTCAAAGTCTTCTAGAAAGTTTGTATCCCTACCTCCTGGTACCTCAAGACTAGAAGAGATGTCTGTTCATCAAGTATGGATGGGCTGGGGTGGGGAGACATAGCTAGATTTCCCACCTAGTACTTTTTGCTCTTGATTTAATCCCCTCTAGATCACTGATGGACACCTCTCAGTATGATGGATATGAACCCAAATAAAAACATGAATATAGGTGTGTGTGTGTGTGTGTGTGTGTGTGTGTGTGTGTGTGTGTGTGTGTGTGTGTGTGTATACTCAGTACCAGAGCTTGACTTCAAGACCTTAACCTCTTCCTTAGCTTTTTCATTCAAAGCTAATGCTCTTCCAGTTGAGCCACATCCCCACTTTCAGCTTCTTTTTTCCTGGTTAGTTGGAATAAGAGTCTCACTGGGTTTTCTGTCCAGGCTGGCTTTGAACCAAGCTCCTCAGATCTCAGCCTCATGATTACGTACAATGACCAGTGTGAGCCCACCAGCACCCAGCTGGCAAAAAGTTTCCCTGCTAACTCTGCTACTAACCTAGCACTTGACCTTGAGCGATTCCTGCTCAGTCCACACAGCACGTGTGTCTTCTTCCTTCCTCCCTCCCTGCGTTCACTTCCGGCATTACTCATCTACCTGTGGTTCCCGCCCACCTGGATATGGTTTCCCCTTTCTTTCCTTCTTCTTGGTGCTGAGGAGTTAGCAGAGACCTGAGGACTTTTGCCAGCAACTTCAGAAAGGCTGGGAGCCGGAGTCATAAAGGTGACTTCAAGGCTGATGTTGGAATCAGAAGTGGCGCCCAGCCTGGCCTCCTTCCGGTTCAAAGGCAGCAACCAGGTTCACCAACACTCACCTCTAGGATGTGTTCATCCTTGCTCTCTCTGTCCAGCTGCCTGGCAGTAGATAGGAGACCTGGGAGGAGAGGTGATCATAGAATATAAATGAAGGGCTCCCAGGGACAATGATCTAAAGTATTGCATTCAGTGTCCAGAGGAGAATTCTTCTGGTCTTTGGAGAAACAAATATGTTAAGGGGAAATGGAACTCTGGGTAAAAGGAAAAGGGAGATGGCAGGAGAGATAAGGTACTAGCTGGCATTCCAACCTTCATTAAAAAAAAATGGGGGTGACAGATTCATGCTCAGCTATTGGCTTAGCCTCTGTAGCTTGCCCAATCAATGTGCTCCACAACTCAGATGCCTAGCTAATCAGCAGCCTGCCCAATCAGATGTCTGGCCAATCAACAGCCTAACCAATCAGCAGCTTCTACAACCAGCAGCCTGCCCCCAAGTCAAATACCTGACCAATCCGCAGCTTGCCCAACCAGATGCTGGGCCAATCAGCAGCTGGTCCAATCAAAGCCCATGCCATCAGAATGGTTACACAGAGTCATGGTGATTATCAGCACCTTCTCTTCCTGGTTAGAAGTTCATGAGATCTGTTTTTGCTTCATTATCTTCTGTGGGGATGGGCGTGGCCTGGGGTGCAGAGGAGCAACCAGGGTCTTTGGAATTGGGAAGTTCTCATTCAATAAGGATGCTGCTGCCAGGCTCAGCCCCTCCCTTCCTCCTATGGCATGGCCAATCCTCCGTTCTAGCCTCAGTTTCCTTACTCAGGAGAGGCCTTCTATGCCCCTCCTTCAGAAGTCATCTACCTATCCCTCCTCCTCTGTGCTGGGTTGTTAACCCTCTGAAAAGAAAATTGAATTAGATGACCTTTCAGATCCTTCTGGAAGGTCAGAACTGGATGTCTCCATTTGGAGGGCTTTATTCTAAAGAGATAACTAGATGATAAATCTGCATAGGTGTTCATCCCAGAAATTTAAAAAAAAAATGTAGGCTGGGAATGTGGTTTAGTGGTAGAGTGCTCGCCTAGCATGCATGAAGCCCTGGGTTCCATTCCTCAGTATCACATACACAGAAAAAGCTAGAAGTAGCACTGTGGCTCTACTGATAGAGTGCTAGCCTTGAACAAATGAAGCTCAGGGACAGTGCTTAGGTCCTGAGTTCAAGAGCCAAGACTGGCAAAAAAAAAAAAAAAGGTAAACAGCTACTTCCACAATAAATCCATTGTTGGGCAGAAAGGGCTGTTTCTCAGGGGTTCTAACAGCGAGCACAATCATTGCCTTCAGTTCTAGGAAAATCAGAGTGAAGTAGCTAGTGTTGGTGGCTCATGCCGGTCATTCTAGCTATTCAGGAGGCTGAGATCTGAGGATTGTGCTTCAAAGTCAACCTGGGCAAGAAAGCCCATGAGACACCTATCTCCAATCGAGTAGCAAAAAAGCCAGAAGCAGAGGTATGGCTGAAAGAAAAAGTGAAGTTAGAATGTAAGGCCCTGAGTTCAAGTCCCAGTACCACTAGCACAAATAATTTTTTTTTAATAAACAACTACTTATTGAGCTCCTACTGGATGCTGGGGACTGAAACTAGTCATGGTCCCTGTTCTGGGAAAACTTTGGGCAAAGATAACTAATGGACCAGTCAGAAATGAACTGTGACCCGGAAGTATATATGGTCTATCAGGAAAACTAGAAAGAAGAGGTGGGCCAGGCTGTGGAAAGCAGAAACGGGCTAGATAAAAGGGAAGAAGAGGTGACTCCTGGCAGGAAGAACTGTGGATTCAAGGCCCTGTACTGGAGGCTGCTGGGAACGGAAGCCACGCTGTGACTGTGGCCGGAGTCTAGAGAGGCAGCAGGAGGATTGGGGAAGGCAAAGAGTCCGAGGCAGCTAGGCATAGGTCGGTGAGATTTCATTGGCTCTGCCTTCATGGGCCGGCCACAGGAGGGAGGGACAGACTCCCTGACAGTAGAGAGCTTGTGACTGTTGTGCCTTCTTATTTTTTCTTTTTCTTTTTTGCTTCTTTTTGTGTGTCGATAGCTGGGCACTGGGGGCTCACACCTCTCATCCTATCTACTCAGGAAGCTGAGATCTGAGGATCACAGTTAAAGCCAGACCAGGTAAGAAAGCTCATGAGATTCTAATCTCCAAGCGAACCACCAAAAAAGCCAGACGTGGAGCTGTGGCTCAAGTGGTAGAGCGCCAGCCTTGAACAACAACGATAAAAAAAATGCTCAGGGACAGTAACCAGGCCCTGATTTCACACACACACACACACACACACACACACACGCACAAAAGTTCATTCCTATTAGAATATCTTCTCCCTGACAATGAAACAGACCATCTCTGCCTTTGAGGGCACCGTGCCAGCGCTGCTATAAGGAAAACTGTTGATAGTAAACAGAAGTAGGATTTAGAAGATCTTGAAAAGTCAATGCCCCAGGCAAAAGGTCTTTAAGCCTTTCTACAAAAGGAGGGACAGATGAGCGCCAATAAAAAATAAAAATAAAAAAAAAGCACCTCCAGATTGTTTTTCTAGGAAAAAGTACAGGGGAAAAAAAAACATTGTTCCTACTAGGCAGTCTATAAAATAAACTTTGGGGCTTGAACCCCAAGACCTGGGCACTGTGCCTTAGCTTTTTCATTCAAGGCTGATGCTCTATCCCTTGAACCACACCTCCACTGGTAGCTTTTAGTTGGCGAACTGGAGGTAAGAGTCTCATGGATTTTCTTGCCCGAGCTGGCTTTAAACTGTGATTCTCAGATCTCAGCTTCCTGAGTAGCCAGGATGACAGGTGTGAGCCACCAGTACCTGGCAGAATTGGTGGTTTTTTTTTCAGTTGGATAAAGGTTGTCCACCCAACACCTCCATATGGCTCACTACTGCCCCCTGCTGGCCCCTGGATGGGCCTCTTTTCCCATGCCCTTGCACCAAGAACAGACACTAGTAAGAGAAGCCCTAATCTCCTATGGATCCCTATGGTCATCATTCGGTGGGCAGGCCTGAGATCAGCCTGGAGCTGGGGTAAAGATGGCTTCTGAGTTATGGCTTGTCACTCAGGGGTGGGGTCACTTTGGAAATATTTGCAAGGTGGAAGTTGTCCCTGCTTGACCTCTGGGTGGTCTGCTAGACTCAAGAGCAAGAAAACTAACCTCAGACATATCTCCTTTTGTCCCGCCTGTGGAGATGCACTTTGTAGAAAAGTGTCTCAAATGTTAGCACTCCTCCGAAGAACTCCCTGCGAGGCTTGTTAAAAACAGATTGCTAGCCCGGCACCAGTAGCTCCCACCTGTTATCCTAGCTACTCAGGAGGCTGAGATCTGAAGATCGTGGTTCAAAGTCAGCCTGGGCAGGAAAGTCCAGGAGACTCTTATCTCCAAGAAACCACCAGAAAACCAGCAGTAGCGCTGTGGCTCAAGTGGCAGAGCACTCGCCTTGAGCTGAAGAGCTGAGAGACAGCGCCCAGGCCCAGAATTTTCAAGACCCAGGACTGGCAAAAGCAAGAAAACAAAAACAGATTGCTGGCCCCATCCCAGAATCCTGACTCCCTTGACCTAGGGCAGCGCTTAGATGGCCTGAATTTCCCACAAGTCCCCAGAAGCCCTTGGGGACTTCGCAGCATCACCATGGACACTGTGGTCTACCAGCTTCCTACATCCTTACCTGTGGATGGATGGATCAGGAAGAATCCCCCATGGTTCCCCCCGGTGATGTTGAACGTGAGCTTCCCCTGTGAGCTGGAATCCGGGTCCAAGGCATCCAGCTGCAACACAGAGGTGCCCAGAGGTGCATCCTCCAGGACAGAGGGGTAGAACACGGCTTGGGATATCCGGGGTGGGTTGTCATTCACATCCGTCACCTCAATGTAGACTTCAGTGACAGCAGACAGGGGTACCGAGCCCCTGTCCACAGCCAGCACTGTCAGCCAATAGGAGGGGATGAATTCTCGATCCAGGGGCGCCAGCGTCTGAATCATTCCTGGAGACAATACATCCCCCCCAATTCAAAGTACTTTTAGAGCTCAAAACAACTTTAGAAATTGCCCTTCCTCCAGCCCAGGCTGGCTTTAAACTAAGATCCTCAGATCTCCACCTCCTGAGTAGCTGGGATGTCAGGCATGAGCCACTAGCACAGAACCTGTGATACGATCTCCAATGAATCAACAAAACAAACAAAAACCCAAAGACAACAGAAGTAGAAGTGTGGCTCAAGTGGTAGAGCACCAGTCTTGAGTGAAAAAAAAAATCTAAATGGGGCTGGGAATGTGGGTTAGTGGTAGAGTGCTTGCCTAGCATGCATGAGGCCCTGGGTTCGATTCCTCAGCACCACATATACAGAAAAAACCAGAAGTGGTGCTGTGGCTCTCACATAGTAGCTTTGAGCAAAAGAAGCTCAGGCACAGTTCCCAGGCCCAGAACTGACTAAAACAAAAAACAAAAACACCAAAATCTAAAGGACAGCACCCAGGCCCTGAGTTCAAGTCCCAGTAAAAGCACAGAAATTAATTAAGTAATTAATTAGATAATAAGTCAGTGTTGCCTTTTTGGAGGGCAATTGGAAATAGGCACTACTACTGGAAATGGAGAATATCCACGAGGCATGTATGAAGCTCTGGGATTTGATCCTAAGCACCATTCATTGACACAAATGCCCAGAATCTTTTGACTTAGAAACTCTGAAGAGTTGTTATTGTGGAGAGTCATTTAAATGAGTACAGGTATTCAAATGAAGATGTGGCATCTGTGTGATAGAATAAAGAACAAAAAATATTTACGTGCTGATAAAATGTGTTGCAGGAGGTGGAAAAGGTAAAGTTTATAATAGCATCTACTGTCTTACATTTTTGTAATAATAAAATCAAGCCAGGCGCTGGCAGCTCATGCCTGTAATTCTAGCTCCTCAGGAGGCTGAGATCTGAGGATCCCGGTTTAAAATCAGAGCCTGGGCAGAAAAGTCTGTGAGACTCTTATCTTGGATAAACTAGCAAGAAGTTGGAAGTGGAGGTGTGGATCAAGTCTTAGAGCACTAGCCTTGAGCAAAAAAAGCCAAGCAAGAGCTAGAGGCTCTGAGTTCAAGCCCCAGTACTAGCACAAATGAAGACAGACAGACATACAGTAAATAGTGAAAATATATCAGATACACAGAGTACAAAATCAGATCAGAAACTAAATTGTTGGTAAAGATTATATTTGGGGAGATGAGACATAAAAGAATATTTGAACTCAAGACCTGGGCACTGTCTCTGAGCTTTTTTTTTTTTTTTTTTTTTTGCTCAAAGCTAGCACCCTAGCCACAGTGCCACTTCTAGATTATTTTGGGGGGGATAGTTAATTGGAGATGAGAGTCTCACAGACTTTCCTGCCCAGGCTAGCTTTGAACTATAATCCTCAGATCTCAGCCTCCTGAGTATTATCTAGGATGATAGGCGTGAACCACTGGTGTCCAAATGGAACACTGATTTCTTATGTATAATTGTATTTTATAATGTATAATCAGCATAAATTACTTTCATAAGCAGAGAGAGAGAGGAAGAAGGAGGAGGAGGAGGAGGAGGAAGAAGAAGGTGTTATGTGTGTGTGTATCTAGTAAAGATAATGTTTAATTTTTAAATTTTTCTTTTTTCTTTCTCACATTCTTTTTTTCTTTCTCTCTCCCTCCCTCCCCCCTCTTGCTGGTACTGGGGCTTGAACTTAGGACCTAGTTGCTGTTCCTTGGCTCTTTTCATCTTTGTTTTCCACTCGGCCTGGCTTCCTCCAGCACATTCCTAACCTCCTGCCCACCCTCACCTTTCTTCCTGCTGACCCTGACACCTCCCATTCCACCTCACCCTCTGTACCTGTATCCCGGTCGATACTAAAGGCATCAAGGCCGGTACCAGCCCGCAGAAAGTACTGCAGCTCCCCATCCGAGCCGTCGTCATCATCCTGGGCGGTCACCTGCATTACAGGCATCCCCGGGGGGCTCTCCTCCCGCACCTGGCCCTGGTGCACGAAGGAGACGAAGCGAGGAGGGTGGAGATTCTCATTCACGTCCAGGACCGTCACTTCCACATGACAGAGGGTCCTGCGGGACAGGGGCCTTCCACTGTCCCTAACCCACAGGCTCAGATTGTACCCAGCCCGCTTCTCAAAGTCCAACTCTCTCTCCAGACTCAACACCCCTGTCAGCAGGTCAATCCGGAAGGTTCCGTGGACATCATCCAACAGGACATAACGCAGGTCCCCTGAGGGGCCGAGATCGGGGTCGAAGGCATCCAGGAAAGTCAACACAGTCCCGGGGGGCAGGTCCTCGGGGACCCTCAGGCGGCTGGGCTCGGGGACACACTGGGGGGCATTGTCATTGGTATCGGCCACGGTGATGATCAAATCTGTAACTGAGTAGAGCTGATGGCCCGTCCTGGGTTGATCCCTGGCTTCTACCTTGAGCACATAGCGGGGTTCGGATTCGCGATCAAGGGGCCCCGTGACCACCAGCACCCCAGTGTGAGGATGCAGGGAGAATCTGTCCGTGGGACTCAGCAGGGTGTAGCGAACCCTGCCATTTTCCTCCAAGTCAGCATCATGGGCTTGCAGCTCTGCGATGGTGGTTCCCACATCGGTGTCTTCCGAGACGGTGAGCTGGTACCCACCCGGGGGAAACTGAGGCGCATTGTCATTCCAGTCTTGCACGGTCACCGTCAGCAGCTTCCAGGAGGACTTCTGAGGCGTGCCCAGGTCGAACACGGTCACGTTGAGCACGTAGAAACTGGTGGCCTCATAATCCAGGGGGGCCGCTACCCTCAGCCACCCCGTCTCCAGCTCAAGGTCAAAGCGACCTTCATCGTTGCCTTCTGCAATCACGTAGACCAGTTTGCCATGGAAGCCCTCATCGGGGTCGGTGGCGGCCAGGTGGGCCAAGGGTGTGTCCGTGGGAACCTGCTCAGAGACATCAATGGTCTGAGGGAAGTGGTCCTCAAAGCGGGGGGCGTGGTCATTGATCTGATAGGTGCTCAGGGAAGCAACTTCTTCATCACTGAACTCCTGGTCCTGGAGGCTCACAGAATGGAGGATGGTCTGGGTGAAATGTGTCAAGACCCCCGTTTTGTCACAGGTGGCCGGGGCTTCCAAACGGGGATCCTGCACCACGGTGACATTCACCGTGGTGGGCGTGGCGTGGTGTTGGCCATCGGTGGCTGTGATCTTTAAGGAATAGCTCATGGGCTGGCCACCAGTGAGATTCGTAAAGGAACGCCTGAGGGAGATCACCCCGGAGAAATGATGGAGATCAAAATACCCCTGCTCGTTGCCCGACATGATCTCATATCTGAGGTTCTGGAGCTCATCCACGTCGATGGCCGACATGGTCAGCACGGACCTGCCCACCGGTGAGTCTTGGCGCAGAGACACGGTACAGTTGACCTCTTCGAACATAGGCTGGTTGTCGTTCAAGTTCTTGAGCCGAATGGATACCGACACTTCTTTCTCTTGGCGGAATGGAGACCCCCAATCAGACGCCCGTACACGGAAGGTATAAATTCTCTTCATGAGCTCGTAATCCATGGGTTTGGTGGTGGAGATGACCCCTGAGAAAGGATTGATGGTAAATGGCACCCCTTGGGGACCCACAAGGCAATAGGTGAAGCAGCCATTCTCTCCAGGATCTTGATCAGTGGCTGAGACGGTCAAAACTGGGGTGTCAAGAGGCAGGTTCTCCTCCACTACACCCTCATAGGAAGGCCTGCTGAAGACGGGGGCATGGTTATTACCATCCACCATGTCGATGACCACGGTGGTAGAAGCCACGCCCACCGAGGTTCTGATATGCAACTGGTATTGGGCACCATCTTGAAAATCCAAGACCTTGGTAGTGGTGATCAACCCAGTACGGGTGTTAAGTTTAAAGCCCGCGCTATCAGGGGATGGCTTTAGGACATACTGAAGGGTGGGGACAATCGGGGTCACTTTGACCAGGGCTACCCGACTCCCAGGAGGAGAGGACTCGTGAAGTTGAACCCTGTACATGGCCTTCTCGAACCTAAGCGAGTCCAGCGGGGCCGGTGGGAGGTGGAAGGCCTTGATGTGGGAATGGAAAGGTTTGTTCACACTCCGGGCCTGGAGGCTGAGATTGAACCCGTGGCGATACACGACCCAGTCGATGTCCTTGGTGGCCACCAGGTTGAACTGGTTGCCGTGTGCATAGGATTTGATGGTTTTGAAGTGCTGACCCGGGTCACCACTGACAATTTCCAGAGATTCCACGTCGGCCCCCACGCCATCCACGGTGACTGTGGCGTAGCTGCCATCCTCATCTGTCGAAGTCACCACCATGGAAGCGATGGCCGGGGGCTTCCTGGAGGAGGGTTCCACGTAGATGATCAGGGGAGCCACATTTCCAAAGCCATTACCCTCTGTCAGCTTGCGCATGCGATCCACAGCCAGGACCTGGAGTTCGTGTTTCCCTCTCTGGGTGACGTTGAGTTTGCCGGCCACAGTAATCACGCCACTGGTGGGGTGGATGGCAAACACGTCTGATCTGGTGTTGAAGGCATAATAGAAGTCAGCGTTCCTGCCCAGATCGGCATCGGTGGCTGTCACTTGGCAAATGGGTCTCTTGAGGGGTGCGTCTTCTGCAATGGTGACCCTATAAGAAGGCGGGGAGAAGAGGGGCTTCAGGTCGTTCTGATCCAGGATGCGCACGGCCACACTGGTAAGGGCCTCCATCTCTGAGGACTTTTCGGAGGCCTGGATGATGAGCACGTACGTGTCCCGTACCTCTCTGTTCAGGAGGGCCGTGTTGCTACTCTTGGTCCGGATTCTCAGAAAGCAGAAGTTGCCCACCACATGCTCTTCGGCCTTGAACACATTCGATGCGTCCCCGGCGATGATCCGGTATTTCACTGTCCACCGAGGATCGGCCAGGTAGATGCCCATCTTCACCAGGCTTTCCACGTAGGTCTTGGGAGCCGAATTCTCGTAGATGGAGACGTTGTAGAGCGAATGCGTGAAGCGCCATGCGGGGAGGGACGGGGTGCCTTCTGCGGGGGGTGGTTCACTGCTGACATAATGGATGGACCAGACAGCCAAACCCAGCAAGACAACAGTCATGGTGGAAAGATCCTGGGGAATCCTGGCTGGAAAGAAAGGAAACACGTGAAGGTTAGGAGAGAAATGGTTCAAGGAAGATGTATTGTATTGTATTTATTTATGGTTGGTCATGGGACTTGAACTCTGGGCCTGGGCGCTGTTCCCTCAGCTCTTCAGCTCTACCCCTTGAACCACAGCTCCACTTCTGGTTTTCTGAGTGGTTCATTGGAGATAAGAGTCTCACGGCCTTTCCCGCCAGGGCTGGCTTTGAACTGCGATCCTTGGATCTCAGCATCCTGAGTAGTTGGGATTACAGGTGTGAGCCACTAGTACCTGGCTTGTTTTTTTTTTTATTTTTATTTTTTGGCTTTTATCCTTGTGCCTCTGGTTCTGGGGGCATGTGGTATTCTTGCTTGGCTTTTTCTGATCAAGGCTGGAGCTCTACCACTTGAACCATACCTCCACTTCTGGCTTTTTGCTGGCTAATTGGAGATACAAATTGCATGGAATTTTCTACCTGGCCTGGCTTTGAACCAAAATACTCAGATCTTATCTTCCTGCCTAGCTGGGATTATAGGCTACCAGTGACCAGCTTGTCCTGGTGATTTTTGGCATGAGGTCTCACCTTTTGCCTAGGCTGACTTCTAACCATAATCCCCCCAATCTTTCTCTCTAAAGTAGCTTAGATTACAGAAATGAGCCACCCGCACCTGACCTACTTTGCTTCTTTTATTATTGAGGGGAGAAGGCTAAACCTATGGTTCGAATTCAGGACCTGGGTACTGTCCTGAAGCTTCTTTTGCTCAAGGTTGGCATTCTACAACTTGAACCATGGCTCCACTTGCAGTTTTGTGGAGTTTTTTTTTAGTATGTTATTGAACATAAGAGTCTCATGGACTTTTCTTGCCCAGGCTGGTTTCGAACCACAATCCTCAGATCTCAGCCACCTGAGTGGCTAGGATTGCAGATGTGAATCACTGGTGCTTAGTGACTAATTTGCTTCTTGAAGTAGAGTCTCAAGGTCTGGGAATGTGGCTCAGTGGTAGAGTGCTTGCCTAGCATGCATGAAGCCCTGGGTTTGATTCCTCAGTACTGCACAAACGGAAAAAGACAGAGGTGGCTCTGTGGCTCAAGTGGTGGAGTGCGAGCCTTGAGCAAAAGGAGGTCAGGGACAGTGCCTAGACCCTGAGGTCAAGCCCCAGGACTGGCAAAATAAACAAACAAACAAATAAACAAAAAGAAATAGAGTCTCAACCTAATTTAACTCTGAGGACTGGCCTTAGAATGTGATCCTCCTATCTCCACCTCCTAAGTAGCTGGGACCACAGGCATGAGACAATACTTGGCTACTATTAACCATCAGTAAATGGAAATTAATTTTTTTTAAGTAGGGGTGCTCAGGGAATTTCAGTTGTCAGGAGAAAAAGCAGAGCAGGAGCCCCGTGCACAAGTCTGACGCTGCCTCCTCTCGTGAACTAGAACACAGCCAGCCCCCAGATTCCTGGAATGTCAGAGCAGAAGAGAGTCTTAAAGATGAGAGCACTCAGTCCCTACTTCTCATGCACAGATGGGGGAAAAAGGTCCAGAGTGGGCACGAGTTTTACCCCAGATTATGCAATGGGTGGACCGCTAAGAACTGGTCCACAGCTGGGCCCTGGTGGCTCAGGCCTGTCATCCTAGCTACTCAGGAGGCTGAGATATGAGGATCTTGGTTCAAAACCAGCCCAGGCAGGAAAGTCTGTGAGACTATTAGCTCCAGTTAACTGCCAGAAAACCGGAAGTGGAGCTGTGGTTCAAGCGGTAGAACATTAGCCTTGAGCTGAAGAGCTCAGGGGCAACGCCCAGGCCCAGAGTTCAAACTCCATGGCCAGCAGAAGTAAAAGAAAAAAAATAATAATAAAGATTCGATCCACAAATGGACGTTCTGCCTCTGTCAGCCTCTCCCCTGTCCCTATCCACCTTTTCCAAAAGGTCCTAGAGCGCCTGTCCCTAATCTAGCCCAGGCCCTAGTGAGACTCCCTGGGATGGGGGTTGGGGGCAAAGCCAGAGCTCGGAGGCGGGGCAGGCATAAGGCTGAGTACACCAACTAGTGCCCCACCTGCCCTTAGGAAATCCCACTCCTGGCAGCTTCCTGGCCAGGGGCCAGGAGTGCTAGAATATTCTTGGATGGAAAAGCCTGACTCGTTTTTCCAGTTGCCTGACTCTTCAAAAGGCAGGAAAGTGTTAAACTTCCAGGGTGGAATTGAAGCCTGGAACCAGGTCTAACCTGAGACCTATGAACCCCACCCCACCCCATACCCCCTGTTCCCAGATGTGCCAAACTGGGGTGATAGAAAGTCCAGCAGGGACAGAAAAGATTCAGAACAACTCCATCCTAGCTGCCTGGGGCCATCCCACACGGCCTGTGCTTGAGAAGATGGACAGGATGGACATGGGCCCGCATCTGGGGTACGAAAGCCGATGTTAGGAATTGCTAGTAGAGGACATTACCAATGACTGAAGAGAGAAAAGGGGAGGGGGGAGAGGAAGGGCTGGTCCTGGGGCTTGAACTCAGGGCCTGGGTGCTGCTGTTGAGCCCTCTACCCCTTGAGCCACGGCTCCACTTCCAGCTTTTTGCTGGCTAAATTGGAGATAAGCGTCTCACGGGCTTTTCTACCCTGGCTGGCTTTGAACTATGATCCTCAGATCTCAGCCTCCTGAGTAGCTGGGATGGCAGGTGTGAGCCATCGGCTTTCAGCCTGAAGATGGTTTTGCTTTTCAGCTACCCACTCTCCTGCTCCCAGGCAAAAACCACACCTCCAAGCCGGGCTCCGGTGGCTCACGCCTGTCATCCTAGCTACTCAGGAGGCTGAGATCTGAGGATCACAGTTCAAAGCTAGCCAGGGCAGGAAAGTCCGTGAGACTCTTCTCTCCAATAAACCACCAGAAAACCGGAAGTGGCGCTGTGGCTCAAGTGGTAGAGCGCTCGCCTTGAGCTGGAGAGCTGAGGGACAGCGCCCAGGCCCAGAGTTCAAGCCCCATGACTGACAAAAGCCAAACACACCTCCACTTTGCCACCGCAGAAGTGGGAACCACTCCCCCCCCTCTCCTAAATCATTGGGGTCCCAGGCCTGGCAAGATGGCACTGCTCTTGATGCTAAACACCTCTCCTTCCCTTCCCCACTGAACCTCACCCCCAAAATCCAAGTCCTTTACCCAAGCTCGGTGAGTAGAGCTGTATGCAGTCTGCCTGCCAGTGGCTCCTGCCCTAAGGGAGCAGTTTCCTGTTCACCAGGTCAGCTCAACATGGGCAGGCCCCAACAAGATACCACCACCACCCCCAGCCAGGCCCAGCTCAACCCAGCCCAGTCTGCACAGGGCGCCAGGCTGAGCAAGCCGTTAAAATGAGCTGGAGGCAACAGCTTGGCCCCTCCCCCAGGGGAAGAGAAGAGAGAGAGAGAGAGAGAGGGCGCATGTGTGGGAGAGGAGGCTAGTGGCTGGTCACAAGATTCTAGGGTGCTATCTTGGCCCAGGTAAATGCATCAGTAGGGTATAAAAGCATATTGAGGCCCCTAAACCCAGCACCAATATTGTATGTATGTATGTATGCATTTTTGTGCCCATCCTGGGGATTGAACTCATGGCCTGGACACTGTCTCTACTTTTTTTTTTTTTTTTGCTCAAGGCTGGTGCTCTACTACTTGAGCCACAACTCCCACCTCTGTCTGGCTTTTTTTTTTTTTTGGTAGGTCGTGGGGCTTGAATTCTAGGCTTGGGCGCTGTCCCTCAGCTCTTCAGCTCAAGGCGAGCGCTCTACCACTTGAGCCACAGTGCCACTTCTAGGTTTCTAGTGGTTTATTGGAGTTAAGAGTCTCATGGACTTTCCTGCCTAGGCTGGCTTTGAACCGTGATCCTCAGTTCTCAGCCTCCTGAGTAGCTAGGATTACAGGCGTGAGCTACCAAGAGCTTGACTTAATATTTTTAAATACCTTTTTTGTGTGTGTCTGTCACAGGGCTTGAACTCTGGGCCTGGGCGCTGTCCTTCAGCAGTTTAGCTCAAGGAGAGCACTCTACCACTTGAGCCACAGTGCCACTTCCTGTTTTCTGGTGGTTAATTGGAGATAAGAAGGCTGGCTTTGAACTATGATCCTCAGATCTCAGCCTCTTGAGTAGCTAGGATTACAGGCGTGAGCTACCAGTGCCCAACCATTTTTTTTTTTTTTTGCATGTTCTGAGTCTTGAATTCAAGGATTGGTTGCTGATTCATTTAGTATTTTCACTCAAGGCTGGTGTTCTACCACTTGAACCACAACTCCACTTATGGCTTTTTTTTTTTGGTGGTTCATTGGAAATAAGAACATCACAGACTTTCCTGTCCAGGCTGGCTTTTGAACCACGATCCTCAGATTTCACATCCTGAGTAGCTAGGATGACAGGTGTGAGCCACCAGAGTCAGGCTTGAAGGAGCTTGTAAAGATTTAAATCAATTCCTATCACTTACGGACTTAAACTTTTTTTTTTTTTTCGGTAACTGCTTCCTGTAGCACTTAGATTAAAATCTAATGACCTTGCTATGATTTAAAAGGATTTCTTGCTCCCTCCCCTCCCCTATCACCATATGAGCTTCACCCAGAATGCCGTCCAACAATCTCAACCTTACCAAGCTATAACACACAGGGTTCCTTGCTCCTCGGCAAACACTTACCATGCTGGGACCTGCCTCAGGACCTTTGCACTTGAAGTCTCTCTCTACATAAGAGTCTCGCAAGGATGTTTCTTTCTTGTGATCTAGTTTTCCCCTCAAATGTTTACCTAGTAAGCCCTAATTTAAAGCAACTCCTGTCCCCATTGGCTGCGTTATTCATCAGTTCATGGTACATTCTTTATGGTTCATATCACCTCTCAAAATATTTTTATGTGTGTGTGTGTGCCAGTATCATGATTTGAACTCAGGGCCTGCCTCATGCTCTTGCTCAGCTTTTTGTTTTTCACTCACAGCTGGTGCTCTACCACTTGAGCCACATCTCCAGTCTGGCATTTTG